ATTACTATTTCCAGTGGTAAATCATGTTTTAAAATGTTAATGTTCAAGCCATAATCCTTTATCAATTCTTCGTAATTAACATTAGTGTGAACATCCAAGGATGGGAGTTCCCAGAATGTGACTAAACTATCTTTGTTGCGCAAATTTTTGTTTGAGACAGAATTCGATAATATTTCCATCTCTCTGCCCTCATAATCCTGATTATAATCTTGGCGGTGCTTGTTTCTGTGTCTATGTTTAGAAATGGATTTAGTTGGGAAAAGACTATCAGAGGAAGTGCTTTTTGCTAATTTATCCTGGTTTTTATTAGATTTGTTTATTCCCGATGATGAGGGTGACTTGTTCGTTTGCTTATATTTCTTATCTTGAAAAGAATCTTCATCTCCATCCCCATTCTCCTCCTCAGCGTTTCTTCTCATCTTGATCTCTGGCCCTTTTTTAATTTCTCTTTGATTTCCTTGTTTTTCTGCCTCTTTATCTTGGTCCTCATCTGATGAATCATCTTTTTTAGGCTTTTTCCATTGAAATAACTTTGACATCGTTATTTTTAAGATGCTATCTAATATCAAAATTTATCATAATACTAATTTGGTTCTAGAAATATAATAATAATAGTATTAAAAAATTCTTAGAATCATAATCTTTAAAGGAGAGAATGATATGATTTTAAAAAAAATAAAAAACTAAAGCCAAGTATTTACATATTTTTATACAATAATTTGAAATTAACTCCAGCCATTTACCATATAAATCCTTGATCAAAATCTAATGTTATTTAAGAAGATAAAAATGCATTCTTAGTACATTCTTAATGCTGGAAAATTTAAGTTCAGTTCCGTGACTTGGTAGCTCTTGGATCTTATGATATGATTCAAAAACCGATCCACCTTTATATTCCAATTTATCAAGGCATATCTCTTTACGAAAATCAATCTAGTTTACACTCCGAGCTAATAATATAAATGGTTAGGTATTATCTGAATCTTAATCTATAATTTGGACGAACTCAGGTAAAATTGTATTTCCGGGAATAATTCTTTTTAAAAGAAACTGTGTTGGGTTTTGGGCCTATCTTGAATCTCATATATTTGAAAAAATAACTCCTTAGAAATATACTGTTAATTAATATGGAATTGAGGTGTTCGAGGGGATACTAAATCTCTTTGCATAATGATATATTAAATATATATATCTAAAATTTCACATAATAACATGTCACTTTATCAATAAATCATAAACAATGTATCACTGAATCATTAATAATATATCACTGAAGCATGAGTAATACATGACTGTCTAATTCAAAAACATATCTTATTTATATATCTCTTTACGTCAATAATAGTAAACAATAAATCATTTTAAGGTACTCAAAGAAAATATAATAAAAATATTCTTTATTCAAGATCAAAAATGAGAACCCACCCGACCCCTCGATATTTCGCTGAACCCTAACCCAACCCTAAACCCTTTTTAAAATTTAGGGTTCAGGGTCAAATCTTTTTTAAAAAAAATTTTTCTTTTAATTTTTTAAAAAAAATTATTTTTATTATTTTATACTTTCATTTTATTTATTTTAAATTATATGATAAAAATAATATAATATAAAAAACATTAATTTACGATTTTCATAAAAGATTTCCTATTTGAAACAACTGTTTTTTTTTATTCAAGAGAAAATATTAATTTTTAAAAAAATAACAATTTTTGATCATTTTTTTTCGTGGAAATCATTTTTGTTATATTTAAGAATGGGCCATTTTTCGTATAATATCTATTTTAGGATATTGTTGTTTGTGGATTATTAAATTGCGTAAGAAAAAAGAGAAGTACAAGATCACGAATTATAATGATAAAATTAATTTTATGTCAAAACTAATTGAAATAAATTTTTCAAAAAAATGATGTTTCTGTTATTTTAACTAATTTTAATAAGTCATTATTTTTCTGGTCTCCGAACCCTCAACCTACCTGAACCCGAACCGGGTTCAGAGATTTTTCACACTCAAACCCGAACTCATTTTTTTAAAAGGAGGGTTCACATCCCTGTTTTAGGCTGAATTTAAGTTAAGTGATAAAATGATAAAAATGTAAATTGTAACGCGATAAATTATAAACAAAACAAAAATATTTTGAATCATGCCATGAGGCATTAAACTAAAATATATTAAAGATATAATATTACCTTGAATTCATAGTGGCGCTATTGCGATCGCCATTTAACAGCTGATAGATTTTTAAAATCTGATTATGAGAACAATTTTTTATTTATTAATATTAATTTTGTCTTTAATTAAATTCATAATAATAATCGTGAAATAATGATTTATAAATAAAGAGAAATCAATCCTATAATCAGGTTTTGAAAAACTATCAGCTGTTTTATCGCGATCGCAAACGCGGCACTGTGAATTCAAGGTTAGTTGTTTAGAATTGAATATCATTATTTTAAATATTAATATGTAGATTTAGTTCCTTTTTTCTATTGCTCAATGACTATATAACATAGTTTATGAAATTTGCATTTGAAAATTGAGGTTAGTTGGCATATGTTCTATATTAAGGTATTTAATTATTTCCTATTGGTTAATGGTGGTAACCAATCGGTTAGATAAAATCTATTTCGAGTTGTTTCTAAAAATGTAGTATTAGATCTAAAATGAATTAATTCTATTCTAAAATTCCTGGCTTTGTTTGATCATATAGAATACATATTTTGAAAAAAAATATGAATTGAATCGATTAAAATGATATATTATTCATATTTTTGATTACAGGTACAGAAGTGATAGTATTCAATATTTTTGTACATATCTCCTTTAAAATGTATCATCAGATAAATATTATATCTATCAAATCGTATGCTATTATTAAAGGCAATCTCGCCGAAGTCACTGACAAATGTGCCCTTCTCCTTATTCAATATAAATATTAATCCCATTGAAAAGGCAGTTTACCACTATAGCCTCAAATAATTATTTCAAGATATATAGTATAACTAGCTCATAATCCAGTAAAAATGACGGGGAATCAAAATTTTAAGATTTTGTTTTTTCCTTACTCTTGTAAGATATCGAACTTGACCTATTGTAGTTTCTAACTTTTCCGTAATACTTCCTTCAGATTCTTGATATGTATACCTTTCCTCAGTCTCCTTTAGGTTCATTTCTTTGTCATTGTTTACAAAATCCTTTTTGCTTAATATCTCTTCCGTTCACTTTTCTAATTCGTACTCCTCGTTTAATATATTTACTTTCTTTTCTTTAATTAATCAATATTACAAGCGTCCAGAGGCGTCATTACCCTTTACAATCTCAGGGGCCTCAAAAAAATTATTTTTAAAATGACCTTCTTTATTTTTAGAACATTATCCAAAATTACCTTTTTTTAGTTATATCCAAATTACATTTTTACATTTGATAAAATTTCAAAATTATAAGTGAACTCTTCAAATTTTTGAGAGGGCTCAAGCCCCTGCTAGTTTTCTTGTGACGCTACTATGAACAGTTTGCTACCAATAGTTTTAAGGTAATTAAGGGGGTAGGAGTGAGGGGGGGGGGGGATAATATAAATTTATTGTGGGAATATCTATAAATTTTTAGATAAATTAGGATAAAATATTTTGCCATAAATAATTATTTAATACTTTTATTATAGAACTATTTTGGATAAATACAGAATTTAAACCTTGATCAAATTTATCTAGTGCATACAATCTTAGTCATTAATTTCAAATAAAATTCCTGGATAATTTTTTGCTATCCTTTCGAATCTAATTTAAAAGGGTTAGGCATCAGCAAACTCATATTCATGGCAAACAATTATTATAAAAATGCATTGCATTCATTTACATGAGTGGTCTTTTTTAATTATTCCTGTTCTAAATAATAACTCTTATACATCCATTTTTAGTTGTTAATATAGTATAATAATGTTTAAATGTATGAAGGTAATAATATTATAATAAAAAAACAACGTTTAATTCAAATGCGGAAAAATCACAGCTGAACGCGGCAAAAACCTTGGCGCGGAGGGGGGTGGGGGGGGGGGGAGGTAGTTATAAATTTTTGAGGGGTGTTCATCCAATTAATTGATCATGTAGACGCTGATGCTGAAAAGGACTTCTATCCAATATAATATATTTACATTTCATACTTAAATTAAAAGTTTTGATAAAAATTTAATTCCCTCATATTCTAATTCAAAAGTGATTACTTTTTATCATATTTTTTAATATAACATTCATATATTTTTTATTTTCTTCGTTCTATTACATTCTTATGAGTTTTATATTTTTCTTTCTCTTCTTTTTTTATAAAAAAACATTTAATACCAAATATATATTACATTCTCATAAGTTTAAGCATTCCTAATATGGGATATAGATTTCTTTTCCAAATAACCTATTCGATCTTATTGCGGATATTTGGCTTTTTAAAACATCTTTTTACTTTTTTTCATTTTATTGATGTATAATATATTAAAAGATATTTACAAAAATTCATAAATTTTCTATTGAGCAAGTGTATAAACGTAGAAAATGGCCATTAGTAAAGTTTCACTAAGCTAGAAGGGTAGAAGACAGGAGCAAAATTGAAGAGTTTATAAACTTAAGAGATAAAATACAAAAATACAATGTTTTTCAGGAATTATTTATTATTTCTAGTAATCTCAATTTTATCGTTCTAAATTATTCTGTATCTTTCGAAATAATTGCGTATACAAATTTAAGTTGTTTAATTTGGTTTCTTGATAAATCAAAGAGATTTAAAATTAAAAGAAATTAGAGGAATTTAACTTAAAGTAATGGTATGCCTTTCAATTAGATGGATATATAAAGAAGATAAAATTAATATTTAAAAGAAGTTAGGCGAAGTAAAAAGGAAAAATATTTATAAAAATTCTAAATTTTTAGGATAATTATTTGACTAACTGACGTAACGCCAATTTATCACATCTATTGTTAAGATTAAAAAAAATCCCTTTATTTTAACTTAAGGCATTTAAAATGATGAAAAAACATTAATCTTTATCAAAATATACATTTATAATTTTTTTTTAAAAATATTTAAATAATCTAATCTAAAAATAATTCACAGAGATCATAACAGTGTTTTTGTCCTGTGATTATTTATTTTTGATTATTAAATGCTTAATATCTTGCAAAACATGTACCTTATAACACTATTATTTTTATTCATATTAGCTGGAAATGCATTAGATAAAGAGGGCCAATGTCCAATATTTCAAGGTTATTTTTTATTTTCATTTAAATTGCAATATTTAATTATCCATTATATATTTATATAATAGTTTCGGAAAATAGTAATTCAGTGACATTTTTGCCTAACAATGTCCAAAACTCTAAAAACAAAGTTTATAAAAGTAAATTGAGAGAAGCAACAATGTGGCATAATTGTGTTAATTGTGAAGTTGCTTTGTCAAATCAAATTAATCTTGAACTAAGGGCCAGCTACATCTATCAATTAATGGTTAGTTATCTTCTTATATTTATATTGCTAAATAAAAATTTGGCTATTAAAAAAATAATAATACGTAATATTTATTATCACATGATTAATTATAATATATGTTATAGGCAATGCATTTTGATCGAGATGATGTAGCATTAAAAGGTTTTTATAAATTTTTTGAACACTCTTCAATTGAAGAACGAGAACATGCTTCTAAACTTATGAAATATATGAATAAAAGAGGAGGGAATTTATTACCACATGATATTCAAGTATAATATTAAATTTTATATAGATTATTAATATAAATATTAAGCAGCAGTAATTCTTTATGTTATAACTAAATAACCAAAGTTTATGAAAATATAGCAGAACATTTATTTTAAAAATCTATAGGAATCATAACTCAGTTTAAAATTTACATACTTTATGTTTTTTTAAAATAAATTTCATTTCCTTAACATTCCTTTGAGATAGAATCCTTAGAGCCATGTTAAATCTAAGAATCTGAATCCCCCTTCAACTTATTAGGAACCAAAACCATAATCTTCAAAATATTCAGTACCAATGTTATTAGTCCAGATTATAACTAGGGTTGTGCCAAATGATTAGCATAGGTTTATTGCTATTTATAATTTTTAATATATTATCAAAAATATATGTATGTAAAATAAATTGTTTTTATTGCAATATATTTAAAATGATATCACTAATTTAATATTACTAGTATTATTAAATAGCCCAATCTAGGCTGATTTATAAATACAACCCAATTAAGATGCTTGCCAAAATAATGTATAGGGCTGTGCCGATCCACATATTTTTCACTGATACGATCTGATATTGTCAAAATCCCGTTATTTATATCAGTTTTTCACTACCCCCCTTTGAACCAAACGTAATTAAGAAATCAATATTTTTTATGAAAAAACTCGAATTATGTATTTAATTTAATTTTTTATTTTACAATAATTAAAAAAAAGTTTACCAATATTGGTATAATATTAAATGAATTGTTCCTCCCCATGAAATTAGAATTCCACAGATAACACATTTGTAAAATATTTCCATAATTCAGATACTATTAAAAAAATTCTTTTATTTAAATTTAAATAATAAAATTAGTGTTATTACTTAAAAATATTTGAAATAAATAAATCTTTGGATGTTCCTTTCAATTTTTATAAAAAAAACTTTTAAAATACTATAAATCTATTTTAAAAAAATATATAAAATTTAAGGGGTATTGTGCATTTGCATTGTTTAAAAAAAAGAAAAGTAAAAAGATCAGATTGGATCGGGGTTTTTACAGGTATCGGCCCGATCCTATATTTTTGGAAAATGCTAAATATCGGTGCCTATCTGATCCGATAATATAGGCACAATCCTGTTATTTTTAAACGAGATTTGGCAAAAAGTGGTCCAAACTTTTCTGTCACCTAGGAGCAAAATCTCCATATTTACATAGTTTTATTTTGGCTAAAATCTTATTTGGGCCATTTTTTAAAAAATTAACCCAAATTGGGCCCATAATGCTAAAAATTCCTATTATCTTTTCAAATTAGAGCCTTATTTTTTGAAAAAAAATTCCCACAATGATTTCTTTTTTTGTATTTTGATATATGGATCAAAAAACCACTCAAATATTGATGGTTCATTATTATTTATGAACACTAAATATGAAAAATACTCTTTAATAAAACCAATGGTCATCTGTATCATGTTGTCCGCTGTTTTTATCACATATACTAATGGTTCTTCTAAAATTTATTCCATAAAAAATGGTTGGAACTATGTTTTCCATAGTATCGTATCATTGGCTCATCAATATAGAACAGGTTTTACTTGGCAGAGCTTGCCATTTCTTAAAAAAAATTATCAAAATGTTTTATTAATAAAAAAAATAGGAAAATAAAAAAGATTTTTTGTCAAATAAGCATCGTATGTGGTCATGTGTTGCTTTAATAAAATAAATCAATCATATTGAAAAAAACGCATTAAATATATAATATATAAATTAATTAATATCAAATTCCTGTTTTGTATTTTAGTAACTTTTGCACAATAATGTTTAAATCGAGAACAATATATTGGCATGAAATACTAATTAAATATATTTTTTTAAAAACAGCTGATTTGTGACAAATTGTTAGAAATAAAAAAAATTGTCTCATTACAACCATTTGGGGATTGGTTCCGAATCGCTAAAAATTTGGAATCTCGCTTACATCCCCTAGAAAATTTTTAATTTGAAATTAACATTAATATTTGCTTAGGGAGGTAAACATTTGTATTTAAAGTGAACCTCCATTTATATCGATTTTTTTTTAAAAAAACTCACTTTAAATACGAGTGTTTTCTTCCTGAGCATCTACTTATATTTATATTTAAAAAAATTTAAGAGATATAAACCCAATAAAAACTCTGAACCTCTTGGAATTCCGAGAAAATTTAAAAAAATGCGATAGATATAGGTCCCTCTTAGATTTTTTTATTTCTTATTCCTCTAATCTTGAAGTGTTTTGAGGAACCCAGTTCCCCAATCCTTAAAATCTTTCAATCAATTCGATAAGGAAATTTCAACTAGGAGAGGGGATGAAAAAGTCCTCAAACAAAAATCTCAAAAATCCTAAAAGGAAATTGCAAGTATTTCTTTGAAACACTTTATTCCTCAAAGTTACTTTAACATACATGTCAACCCCTTCCCTCTTATATTTTATATTTATATATTATAATAAATATTTTACCCTTTGTATTAATCAAGATTTATTTTTTAGATATTAGATTTGTATTTTATTTCAAATTTTTAAAAACCATTACAATTTTCAATAAATTAATTATAAAAATAAAAAATTTTTAAAAAAACTATATAATTAAAGATACATTTTTTATAATTGAGTTCCCAAAAAAGGAACCATAATTAGGTCTAAAAATTTTCTATTTCATTTTTTTTTTGGCGCAAATATAAAATTTCCCATAACTTCGTATGTAAAAAGCCGCATTTTATTGCCTAGATTTTTTAAAAATTATGTGGCGAAAAATGGCCAATCGTGGAAGTTACGAATATGAAGTTATTAAAATTTTTGTATTTGTTATAGTGCGCTCAAATTGAACGTTTCAAACGCAGCGTTTCAAAACGCAAATAATGCATGGATTCGTTGAAATTGGAAGGCATTTTTTCTTGTTTCAAATTTAGACGTTTCATATTAAAAAAAATGATTAACGTTTCAATTTAGGCATATTTGCGTTTTGGATCGCTGTGCCATTCAATTTGTGCACACTATTAATCTTTTTAATCTCTGCTTGTATTCGTGTGTTGATATTTAAGTTTAAGGGGAATATAAAAACGCATGTATAGTCCCAAATTAGAGATTTACCGAGGGCCTTATCATATGGTTGTCAAACCATCAGTCTAAACCATCATCTTAAGATAAATTTGTGGGTTCAGGATGGTTTGAAATGTAGGCGGCTGGTAAACCTTGTTTTATTATATGGTCAATTATTGCATGGCGTTTGTGTCCTCCTTGACTTATCTATACAATTTAAGCCGTAGATTGTTTTTCAAAGATATGTATAGATAAACAATTGTTAAGTTTCTTAATCCTATTCGTATTTCTATATTTGAAACGCTCAACCATTAATGAATCAAATAATTATTTTGAAATAAATATTTAGATATTAAATTAAATTTAAAAATTGTATTTTTAATAAATAACATGACGAAACAATAAAAAGAATGATTGATTGACATATGGTGGCAGTTTAATATCTGTATTTATTCCACGTATGCTCTCGCGCTATTTTTTTTAACGAATGTTCTCAGGGGAGTTGTTGGGGTTAGAAAACAAACTGCCGATAATCTCGTAGACCATATATAATTTTTATTATGTCAGAGACGTATACATAACCAAGGCCGATAATTTAGCTTTTTACTGTTTTTCATATATAAAATTTAATTTGTAAGGAGTTAATTTTCTATTAATTTCAGCTAATTGCACTTTTAATGATGGTATTGGCCCGTCTCTATGTTTGTATTGATATTTGTTAAATTTACAGAAACCAGATGCAAGTAAAATGAATTGGGAAAGTCCACTATCCGCTTTAAAGGAAGCCTTTGACCTAGAATCTCTAGTTTATACATCCCTTAGAAAGCTTCATGACGTTGCCTCAATCAGCGAAGATTATCACGTATGAATATTACTACATTTTTGATTCTGCAATATGAAATTTATCATAATTTGACATTGTATGAGTTGAATGTAAATCCATATCTAAATTTTATTAATTGTATGTATGTATAGTTAATTTTCAGACTATCTATTATATTAAATTAATATCACATTTTGATATTGAGGATAATTCAATTTCTGCACTATTAGTTTATAGATTTAACTATTTATAAGATGGTTTTTAGGAGGTCCGTGAAGTTGGCCCCACAATTTTTAATTTTCAATAGTTTATCAGTTGGTGTGATTAGTACCCGATTTTTACCGTTTTCAGTTCGATTTGTACCATCACCGTTTTTGAAATATTCAAAGAACAAAATGGAGGGCCAACTTCACGACAGCCCCCCAACTTTTGAACTTAAAAATAAAAAGTGAGTCGATAGAGAATGATTTGTACCGTTTTCAGTTCGATTTGTACCATCACCGTTTTCCAGCTATTGACCGTTGAAAATATGGCGCCAAAAATAAAAAAACACTCAAAATTTTTTTTTAAGAAATTTTTTAACGTATAACGGTAGAGAATTTTTTTCTCTTCCTAATGATGCCTCAAATTAGGCTTTATCTTCATTATTTATTTCGAAAATCAAATTTTAAACCTTATATTATAGCGTGAAGTTAGCCCCCCCCTCCCCCGATATTCAAAATTTGAGATTTTTCAAATTTTTAAAACGGGATTGATTTGTACCCGATTTGTACAGTTTCAAACTCGATTTGTACTATTACCGTTTTCCAGCTTGACCGTTAAAGATATGGCGCCAAAAATAAAAAACACTCAAAATTTATTATTTTAAAAAAATTTTTAACGTACAACGATGGAGAATTTTTTATAAAAACTGAACCGGCTTAATTTTTTTTTATAATTTTACTCCTTCAAAAAATAATAATATCGGTTACGGTTCAGATATATATAGCGGCTTATAATGGTTTAACGGTTCGTTATGGTTCACTTCTGGTCACTGTTAATTTTATTGTATTAATCCCCATGTTAAAAATATATCAACATGTATACTAATTGAAACATATTACAACATGTTAATGACTTTGTTATTAGATTTTGTTTGTAAAAATATTTAAAATATACTCAAAGCTTTACTGAAAATTTCTTTTTATTCCTCCTTTTTTGTATTCTCATTGAAATATATTAGAACACATTAATAACTATGTTATTCTATTTTGTTTGCAAAAATAATTAAAATATAGACAAAGCTTTAATGAAAATTTTTTTTTTCCTCCTTTTGTTGTTTTAATAAATATTTTTATATGAATGGGATTTAATTGAATCGTCAACAGGTTTCATTACTGTATATATAGCAGTCATATCAATTCCTATAAAAAAAAATTTTTTATGCTTAATGAAAATAAATAAATTTTATTTAACCCTGGATATAATATATATTGTCAATATATTATTTTAGGAAATATCTGTATGCCATTTCGTCGTAATTGAAATTTTTTATATTTCGCTTCAATTTACAAGTAAGATATTTTGAACATTTAAATTATTATATACATATCTTTATTAATAAATAAATATGCTATCCAATTTATTTTGTCCTAAACCAATTATTTAGAAAACCTCTTGTATATCGTTTCACCCCGCTATTTGGGGCATGTAGGACAAAGTTTTCACTTTTACAAAAAATATAATTTTGATAAAATTTTCAAAAGATTTTTACTTGATAGATTTTAAAATTTTATTAAAATATATAATCATTATTATGTAAATTAAATTTTATAGCAAAGTTTAAAAACTCTTATAATTTTGCAAAGTTTTATGATAATTATAATATTAAAAATTTAGTTCATTAAATAATTTTAAATACCGGATTTGGTCTTTTATAGTAGCTAACAATTAAAATTTATTTATAAAAATATTACAATGATTCCGTTCCTAAAACTTGTTCTTATTTTTATTAATTCCTTATTACCTGAGCCCAATTAATATTATTGGATCGGTAGACCGATAACCTATATAAAATTTTTAAAAAATATATAATTTTTTTAAGACATCGCACCTATTAAAAAAAATATCAACTCAGAATTACTTATTCTGAAATAATACGTTAACGATTTATATCAATAAAATAGAGAACCGCACCCACCATCCGCAAACATATGGTGTTAATTTAGTGCAGGTTTATCATACTCCAAGACTCCAAAATATCTTTATATGCTTATTAAAACTGATAGGTATAATATTAGAACACAAGTTGACCCATTATACTGTGAAAAGTATTCAAAATATCTCCTTGATAATAATACTTCTGATCATGAAATAGACAATATTATACCAAGCAATAGTACAGAATCATATACTAAAAAATTCATTATGACCCTATCTTCCGATGAATGGAATAAAATTAAACCTATTAAAAGAATCTATAACAATAATACCACAAAAAAAGGAAGGCCATACTCTGTTTTACAGTTAGGAATATGGGCTGATATATCACAATCTCATTTTTGGGATGTTACAAGATTACCATGTTCGATACAGTTTATTAGGGCAAAGGTGTCTGATATTGGCCCATATTATGTCGTGATGAAAGGAACATGTTCCAATTGTAAATCTAATTGAAAAGCGATTATTCTTGTACGTCCGGAATTTGAACATAGAGTTATAGTCAAATGCGTTTATAAAGGCCATTTTAGAGAAGGTCATGAGCTGAATAAAAAAAGGAGGTTAGCTGGCGAGACACGGGAAAATTTTGTAAATGAAACTATTTAAACGCATTAACCTTGCAGCTTCTTTCGTACTGAGTTAGCAAGTAAATTTATGAAATTCGGTGATAGAGAGACCGCTCATCTAACCTCAACCGAGGTTATTAGAAAAGCCAAATGGCCGTTATGGCAAATCGCTACAACGAAAATCCGACATAATATGGGCCAATATCAGACACCTTTGCCCTAATAAACTGTATCGAACATGGTAATCTTGTAACATCCAAAAAATGAGATTGTAATATATCAGCCCATATTCCTGGCTGTAAAACAGAGTATGGCATTCCTTTTTTTTGTGGTATTATTGTTATAGATTCTTTTAATAGGTTTAATTTTTTTCCATTCATCGGAAGATAGGGTCATAATGAATTTTTTAGTATATGATTCTGTACTATTGCTTGGTATAGTTTTGTCTATTTCATGATCAGAAGTATTATTATCAAGGAGATATTTTGAATACCTTTCACAGTATGATGGGTCAACTTGTGTTCTAATATTATACCTATTAGTTTTAATAAGCGTATAAAGATATTTTGGAGTATGATAAATCTGCACTTAATTGACACCACATGTTTGCCGATGGTGGTTGCGGTTCTCCATTTTCTTGATATAAATCATATACGTATTGTTTCAGAATAAGTAATTCCGAGTTGATATTTTTTTTAATAGGTGCCATGTTTTAAAAAAAATATATTTTTTAAAAATTTTATATAGGTTATCGGTCTATTGATCCAATAAAATATAAACCGGTTAAAATTATATGTATCTTCTTTACAGCATAGGATTAAATTATAATTTCAGTAATATATCTTAATAATTTTAAAGGAAATTTAGGTCTATATTAATTGGGCTCAGGTAATAAGGAATTAATAAAAATAAGAACAAGTTTTAGGAACGGAATCATTGTAATATTTTTATAAATAAATTTTAATTGTTAGCCACTATAAAAGACCAAATCCGGTATTTAAAATTATTTAATGAACTAAATTTTTAATATTATAATACTCATAAAACTTTGCAAAATTATAAGAGTTTTTAAACTTTGCTATAAAATTTAATTTACATAATGATTATATATTTTAATAAAATTTTAAAATCTATCATGTAAAAATCTTTTGAAAATTTTATGAAAATTATATTTTTTGTAAAAGTGAAAACTTTGTCCTACATGCCCCAAATAGCGGGGTGAAACGATATACTTTCAAGAGGTTTCCTAAATAATTGGTTTAGGACAAAATAAATTGGATAGCATATTTATTTATTAATAAAGATATGTATATAATAATTTAAATGTTCAAAATATCTTACTTGTAAATTGAAGATAAATATAAAAAATTTCAATTACGACGAAATGGCATGCAGATATTTCCTAAAATAATATATTGACAATATATATTATATCCAGGGTTAAATAAAATTTATTTATTTTCATTAAGCATAAAAAATTTTTTTTTATAGGAATTGATATGACTGCTATATATACAGTAATGAAACCTGTTGACGATTCAATTAAATCCCATTCATATAAAAATATTTATTAAAACAACAAAAGGAGGAAAAAAAAAATTTTCATTAATGCTTTGTCTATATTTTAATTATTTTTGCAAACAAAATAGAATAACATAGTCATTAATGTGTTCTAATATATTTCAATGAGAATACAAAAAAGGAGGAATAAAAAGAAATTTTCAGTAAAGCTTTGAGTATATTTTAAATATTTTTACAAACAAAATCTAATAACAAAGTCATTAACATGTTGTAATATGTTTCAATTAGTATACATGTTGATATATTTTTAACATGGGGATTAATACAATAAAATTAACAGTGACCAGGAGCGAACCATAACGAACCGTTAAACCATTATAAACCGCTATATATATCTGAACCGAACCGATATTATTATTTTTTGAAGGAGTAAAATTATAAAAAAAGGTTAAGCCGGTTCAGTTTTTATAAAAAATTCTCCATCGTTCTACGTTAAAAATTTTTTTAAAATAATAAATTTTTAGTGTTTTTTATTTTTGGCGCCATATCTTTAACGGTCAATAGCTGGAAAACGGTAATAGTACAAATCGAGTTTGAAACTGTACAAATCGGGTACAAATCAATCCCGTTTTAAAAATTTGAAAAATCTCAAATTTTGAATATCGGGGGAGGGGGGGGGGCTAACTTCACGCTATATTATAAGGTTTAAATTTTGATTTCCGAAATAAATAATGAAGATAAAGTTTAATTTGAGGCATCATTAGGAAGAGAAAAGAGTTCTCTACCGTTGTACGTTAAAAAAAAAATTTTTTAAATAAATTTTGAGTGTTTTTTATTTTTGGCGCCATATCTTTAACGGTCAATAGCTGGAAAACGGCGATGGTTCAAATCGAACTGAAAACGTTAAAAATTGGTACAAATCATTCTCTATCGACCTATTCACTTTTTATTTTTAAGTTCTAAACGTTGGAGGGCTGTCGTGAAGTTGGCCCTCCATTTTGTTCTTTGAATATTTCAAAAACGGTGATGGTACAAATCGAACTGAAAACGGTACTAATCACACCAACTGATAAACCATTGAAAATCAAAAATTGTGGAGCCAACTTCACGGACCTGTTTTTAGGCCCTGTGTTAAAAATGTTTATTAGGGTTTCTCTATTTATGGAAAATTTTTTTATAACTTTCGGTTTAGATTCATATGATATTCGAATAATTAAACAATTAATTATATTATCACGAGCATCATTGTCTATTTTTAATTTTAATATATTTCAAAGTTTATGGACTACATAGAATCCGAATTTTTCGTGGAACAAGTAGAAAGTTTGAACCAGTTATCCAGCTATATTACCAAGCTTAAGCGGATGGGTTGCGGCCTGGGTGAAGCTCTTTTTGATCAAGAATTATTAAAATCTACTGAATCTCCATGAATCCTTTAATCTGGTTCATCATCGCCGGAATCTCTGGCTACATTGCCGATCACTCAAAAAATCAGATAGTATTAATTTTTCAAAAATAAATAAATAATCAAATCATAATAGAATCCTTGCAATAAATATTTCTACTTAGCTTCCCACTTCAGCGCCAACTTTATATTATATTCTTATTATAAATGATAATCTCAAATATTTGATTTAAAAAAAATAACATTCAAATTTACATTATACATAATTATGCGTATTTATTCATATTAACCGGTTTATCATTTCTCATTTATGCACTTATACGATATCGCACAATTTTATTTATACATTAATTACAATAATTTAACATTTTAAAATTTAAGAAGTATTTAATTTATAAAAAAAATTTTTAATCACTTTTTTAGTCTCGTATAGTTTGTAAAATGATATAAATATTTTTTACAGCTGTTTTATTTAATTTGTCTAGAAATAATTCAAAAAAAGATATGTTATCTTACTTAATTTTGATATTTAAAATTTATTGTATACTTAAATCTAGAAATATTTACTGTAGCGATAATAAAATACATTTCTGAATTATTTTAATCTCTCACATTTCAATTTTGAAAATTATAGCTGCAATCAATTTACGTAAGAATAAGTTTATGATAAAAACCTTTTTAAAAAGTACACAGAAAATTTGTTTTATAAATTTAAAATGTAATAATATCTTTAACAATTTTATAAAAAAAAGATAAATAATAAGAACTATATTATAAAATAAAAATAATTCACGCTCGCTCACTTTTGACAAGTCGGCGATCACGTGTTATATAAGATATAAGAAAGATCCGAGGAAATTAAGATAGTTGATTCGGAACTGAAAGATTTGAGTTGATTGTAGCATTTTAAAAGAGGACCCATGATCATCATTTATTTTAGAAATTTTTTGTTTACCTTAGATTATTAAAATGATAGCATGGTGGGAGGGGGGGGGGGTAGCTAGGGATCCATTTGTAGAAACAACTATTACATTTCTTCGCGTATTAAATCTCCTACCTTAGACTAACCCTTTTTTGGAACTTTTTCGAAAAGTTTGGTCTGGGCCCGTAATTATTTTTTTAAGAAGGAAAGAGATAGATTATCCTAAATCATCAGCTTCAAAAATATTTTTGGAAATTTGTCTTTCGCCCTGGACCTCGAATCACGTCGATTTCTTAATAGCGATGTTGCTAATATATATTTATATATATATATAAATAAACAAAAAATTAGTATGAATTATTTTTGTAAATTTAACTACATTCATATCATTACCTGGCTAAGCCGGTTTCTATGGACTAGGTGGGCCCTATCTATTATTATTTTGGTTTTTGAGATGGGGGACTTATTTTTAAAAGATCATTAAAATATTTATATTTTTTTTTCAAATTGTATTATTTTATTGATTTTTTCGTGCTTCCAAAATTTTCTTTATACATTTATATTGAAGCTATTCCTAAAAATTGTATTAGAAATATTTCGCATCTTTCAAAATTTGAACTCTGTTTTTTTATTTTACATTTGTCATATTATTTAAAATTATTTTGTTTAATATTTATCATATTTATAGTCGCGTGATTTTATATATCACGTGTAGAACTCCTGATTTTTTTTAAAGTATAAAAAGGACGAGATTTTTTAATAATTATGACTTTTTGTTTTTTTTTTAAGTTGGCGAATGAAATTTGGAATTGAACATTCATTCATTTAAGTTTTAGAGTTGTGTTGGTAAATTGGGTGAGTTATAAAAGAGTGTTGTACTACTAGTAGTTTTATTGCATATAATTTTCACAACATTATATATAATGACATTGATAATATTATTGAAGACCAATTCATTTCACTTACAATTTAAAATTTTCATCCAATTCGTGAAAAATGTCTAAAAATGTTAGCCAGATAAATAATATTATCCAATCTCGAGATTTCCCCAAAAGGGGGTTATCATAGTGGGATCCTCTCTGACACGATTTAACATCTGATTGATTTTAAAAATCTGTTTATGAGATCACTATTTTTTAAATAATATTAATTTTATCTTTAATTCTATACATGATTATAACCTAGTGCTGTAAACATTTCTAAAAAAATTGAACGCGTTCAACGTTCATTGACAAAACGCGTTCAAGTTCATGTTCAAAAAAAAAGGAACGCGTTCACGTTCATAAATTCGTTCAAAATTTTATGATAAATTTTTTTTCAATTTAATTTAATATAAATAAACTCATATTTTTTAATACAATATATTTTAGCCATGTTAAAAAATAATATAGTTTTATTATGATAATATAATTATAAATAAAATATAATATAATATAGCGAATAAAAAGATATTTTTATTTAAAAAAATTTTTTTTATTAAATTTTAATAACAGTTGTTTTCAAAATATTTATCTGATAGACAGGAACACTTGGCAGTTAATACGGCATTAGCCTAAAGCGTGCTCTACAGGGGCAGATAAGGGGATTGCGGTATTATAATTAACGTTATAAGTTTATTTTTAATAGGTTCGTTCTGTGGAAGTTTTATCCATGGCCATTGAAGTTTGAATGCTGGATGTAAAATTGCAGAAAGAATATATTGATTCTTATATATATATGTTCAAATCTTTAAAAAAATTTAAAATATGTAATTAATTGAGAGTTATAGGTTTAATACCTTTTATTAATCCCATTTAATACGGCGTCTATCGATGTTTGACCATATTTGAGGCCACTAATTTTTTTAATTTTAAAATAACTATCGTTTTTGTTGGGGTCAAATATCCCAAATGCATTATTTCTTCAAGTTTAATGATTTAACTTAGTTATATCATATAAAACCAAATAATTAATATTAAAATCAACGTTTTAAATTGGAACCTGAAGATTTTGACAATATAATACTTTTTGGCCACATTTTATACTTGGTAAGCATTAGATTAGTTCCTTCAATATAGGATGTTAATGACATTTATCTATTCGGCCATAGTAATGATAATTCATCTGATTTTGGATTTCCAGAATCAGATGATGAGGATTAAATAATATATAATATCCATGCTTATGCTAATATATTAAATTAAAATATAAACAATATTATTCATATTAATAAACTATGTGTTAAAAACATTGAAATGTGAAAAGGAAATACACAGCCGATTAAAAAATATAAATAATACATTTTTTCAAAAAAAGAAATATTAAATTTTTCAAAAAAATATAAATAAAAATATTTTTAAAATTTAACGAACTTTGAACGTGAACGCGTTCGTCATAAAAAAAAGGAACGCGTTCACATTCAAAGTTCGTTAAAAGTAAAGGGAACGCCGTTCATCATTTTTTTCAAAAAAAAACGAATATGGTTCACGCACTCAGAGCATTTTGTGAGAAATTTCAGAGGTAAGAAGAGAATGAGAGGAGGGTAATATGTAAGAGATTATTACATTAAGGGAGTTTTGTCTAAAATACATAATAAATACCGTGTTGTGTGGATGAAGTTGAAAACATTTCCATCAAATCTGGTCAACACTGTATAACCAAATATCGAATTGGTGAATTACGTTTAAATAAAAAATATCCGAAAAGCTTTTTACAATAGGTGGTTTAAAAGGGTGCTAATTTATTTCAAAATGCATAAATTTATTTACTCTGTTTCTATAATGTTAGTAGCAATTTACTTTTTTTCCAGCAGTGTTATTTTTCTTCTTTAAACCATTTTTCGAGCGCGTTTTTTTAAATTTAAAAGTCTGATTTACCGGAAATGTAAATTTGTTACAATTTTTCCATGAACTTTTGAACATAATATAATTTATACTAGTTATACCCATAGATTTTTTTTATATAAATTATAAAGGACTCAATTGTTAACGGCCAGATTGTCTAAAATTCATAATATAGGTATTCTAAATATGCAGTAAATACGAGTAAAATAAAATTTTTAAATTTAATAAAACGCGCTCAAAAAAATGATTTAAAGTTGAGAAAATAACACCTTGCCGAATCAAATAGGGTACAGTAGCACTCAAAGTACCTAGCTAGCCACACTCCTGATTTCGATGAATGATTCGAAGAAATACTCAACTTGAAGGATTCGGATCGAATCAGGCATGATGTAAGAAATGATTAATACAAATTATACAGTATAAGAATTCGCTGAATGAACGACTCGAATATTGATATTCATATAGGATATCAGGGCAGGAGAGTCACTAGATTTGGCAATCTCAGAAGGCACAAACAAATTTTTTTAAAATTATTTTCAAAATGACCTTCCTATATTTTTTAGCTATAACATTTTTAAAAATAACCTCTTTATAGCACACAATTTCCAAATTTCCCTCTTTTTTTTAGCCAAAGTAATCTTTTTTAAGGTATATTTCAAAACATCGGGTAAAGAGATAAACAGAGAACAATTAAAAGCGGTAAAGAAGAAAAGAGGAAGGGTAGAAAAGAACGTAATATGAAGTGGAAAAGAGGATTGTTTTTGTTAGGATCCAAATTAGAAACAAAGAAAAGTGAATAGGAATAGATGGGTAGAATCATATTGCACAATAAGTACCCTAGTAAAAAACGGAGTCGATGATGAGCTAATTTGATAGATAATAAACACATAAATTAACAAAATAAAATATTAAAATAATTACAGCATAGATATGTGAACAGGGTTGCCAGGTCTCCCCCCCCCCCCATCAGCGGTAGACTCCTGCAAATTTTTTGATTAAAGGCAGACATCTCACTCCAGCAAAACTATCGCAATTGGAAATCTACTGCAAAAATCTACCACAATTTTTAAATTTTTCTCCCGCACAATTTTTTTTAGCATATTTAAATTTTTTTTAATATATAAATAATAATTTTCTGAAGCAATAATTAATTATTTTTATATTTTTAAAATAAATTAAATATTTATTCAAAAAACATGTCTATCCAATAATAAATAAACATCATTCATTTATATTTTATCATTTTCATGTGTGTTTGTATATAACATTATAAGGCTAGGCGCTTAATTATCAATCACGTTTAAATTTTTTTGTATAGAATATAAATAAGGTAACTCAAAGAGAAAGAAGTAGAAATTAACTATTTTAAAATTTTAAACTTTACCGACTTTATTAAAAAGGAATTATAAGAATTAATAGAGGGATAACTAAAGCAATTCACAATCCCGGCCAAAGGCCGACTAAAAATTTTTTAGCAATTTTTATATTTCTACCGCAATTTTCATATTTAACCCACAAAATACCAAATTTCTTCCGCAATTTAAAAATTTTACCTGGCAACCCTGTATGTAAACTGATACAAATATGTGAGGCACAAAATAAATATGTTATAATATATGAAGTTTAGATGCTACCTATTACTTTATATAATTTTTATTATTAAATTAATAAAAAGAATTAAAGTTATATTTTATCTATCATAAAATTTTAAATAAATGATATTCATTACAATTTCGTTTGTATAATCTTAAGATATCTTGCTATTATACTATTTTTAAATTAACCTTACCGGTTATTATAAAGTACAACATATTTGCGATCCATCCTATTTAAATAAAGGCGTGCATGAATGGTAGCATATGCTTTTCAAAATTTTTAAATGTTTTTTCGTAAAATAAATAAACAAAATCGTAATTATGGATGTAATGACAAGGAAGGAAATCATGGTTCTAATTACAAAATAATAGTCGTAGGCGGTGGGGGAGTAGGGAAAAGCGCCTTAACTATTCAATTTATACAAGTAAATCAATTTAAAACTATTGTTATTTATTTATATTTTCTTAACATTTATAATTGTTTTTGATTATCATTTTTAAATTTTTATGATAGAATATATGTGGGGAAGATAAATTTCATCCTTTAAAATAATATAGGATTGGGGTTTGAATTGATTTTTATGACTAGGAATATCTATGAAGATATTAATAATTCAAATTTTAGTTTTTTCAATATTTTATAAGACAATGATGACATTAATAAAATATAACCATTTTTATTTAAATATTAACCCTACCCTACAATATGATTTTAATAAATAATTGAGTTTTAATCTTAAAATAATATTTTTTTTAAACTGCCAACCACCCCTCCCATCCCCCACCATCTTAGTTATTTTCCCCATAGAAAATAAAATCTCACATAGGTTTTTTGTTTATTGATTCATAAATTATTTACTGATAATCAAAAACAAAATTATCATATTTTGAATTCCCATTTTCCTAAATAAAACATGTGCTTTACATGTCAATGATCAAAAATTTTTTTTGATTTTGAATAAATGGTAATGGTCTTATCAAATCTTTTTTTTATTCCTAATCAATGAAACAATATTCTTACAAATCTCTTAATAATATTTTGTATTTCAAATCATATATATAAACAGGATTTTATTATGTGGGGGGAGGGGGGATACTATTAGGTGGGGTTTCCCTATAAGTTTTAATGGAGATTAGGGCTATATTCAATTTGTAATAATATTTTTAAAATATAGTTAGAGCAGGATGGGGGGGGGGGGGGTGTTAAGGAGGGCAACATAATTAGCTTAAAATGATATTTACAAAAAGAGACAAATTTTTAAAGGGGGAAATTTTCCTTTGCTCCCTCCCCCTGGCTATTCCTATGTTGCAAATATTGTTTTTATTTCTAGCTAAACTGTCACGTTTATTTATTAATCTCAACATGATTATATTGTAGTCAAGTTATATATATATATATATATAATAAAACTTTCATTTTCTATCACCCACACTGATTTCATTACAGAAAAATATTCCAAATTAAGTATAATTGAAAAACTTCATAATTGTGCCTTATATTTCATTACAATTAATAGTTTTAACATATTATACTCAACTATAAAAAGCAAAAGTCATTCTGATTAAGATAGGAGGAAAATATTGAGATTTGATATTATATTTCCATATAAGTGCATATTTATATTAAGCACATCATATCACTGATCATAACAAAATATTTGCTTGATTCTATATTCTTCCATCCCTATGGGAAGTAATGAAGATCAAAACTTCACACCTAAAATAAAGTATATAGTCTTATTTAAAAATATGAGATTTAGTATTCACGATAATCACTATTACTTATAAATGCCTCCCCCTCCTCCAAAGAGCAGCTGAATGAGGGTTTAGGGTTGCAACACCCCCTCCCCCTTCTCATGTGAATACGAAAAGGTAGAATCTTTTATTCTCATAATATTATTTATATTGATATCTATACAAAAATTTGCTTTATTTTTTTTTATTTAAAATAAAAAAAATTCCCTTATCTATTTCTATTAAATCATTTCAGAAATTTATTCTATTTAAAGCAAGCGCTTGAAAAAATATTAATAATATGAACAATATTATAGACACATTTAATTTTTTTTTAAAATTGGTATATATATAAATTATATAAAAATAATTGAAAAACAAGGCACTTCCCAATTGACATAATTCATATTAGATTGACATTTGAGCTTTTCTATCGAGGAAAGCACACTTACTATTTATATTATTTTACCAAACAATCGCTCAACTTTAGCATTTTAAAGGCAAAAAATTAACTATTGTAATCGTTTTCAATTTCGCCGTAATCTTATTCTAGTATCACATTCTTGGCAAATTTTTTGCCAATTATAATTTTTTCTTTAACATCCACCAATTGCTAAATACGCTCTAATTATTGATGTAAGTTTCAGATTAATGTTTCATTGATATCATGGTTTTTAGTTGGCCAAAATATTGTTTGTTCCAATGATTTCCTTTTATACTGGCTACTATACAGATTAAATCTCTCAGAGGCACTGATAAAACAGGAAAAATTGGCATCCATTTTAGAATCTAATCATAATTCTTCAGAGGCGTGGCACTGGAATAATGGGTATTTAGGGAGATGAAATCCCAAAATAATTTTCGTAATTCCCTGCCCCCTTGGATGTATCATGACAAGACCACTGATAATCGATCTAACATGGCTGACATTCTCTCAGGAGATTTTTATTTAATAATTTAATATATTTAAAAAAATTGCAAGATAAGGAATATTAAAAAAATATTTTAGCTCCTGGTTTGTTTACTCTTAGGCAGGGACTTCTACCACAGTGAATGGGGGGGGGGGGTGGATTGGAGGTATGACGCTAAATCGTCTATAATTGGAGAGAATTATTTTTGCTAATTTTGAATCGATATGGGGGAGTAGGAGGGGGTAATTAGAGGATCTGCTGCTCTTAAAAATTCTTCATGATATTACAGTTAGTCAGTTATTTAATAATATTTATAATCATGTTTCATACATCGAAAATATATATATTTATAACATGATATGACTCTTCACAGATATCCAATCGAACCTGATCAGTCGGACTTGGATAGCAATGTTTCCAACCGAACCACGAAACCGGAACGATCCGTTATAATTTTCTGAACCGTAACCGAACCGTTATAAAGAAAATATAAAAAACGAACCGAACTGTAACCGGTTCATAACGGTTATCAATTTAAAATTATTAACCTAAATAATTTTTCCTTGGGGGGAAATTTAAATTCGTGATTTTTTTTTTCAATTTAAAATTTTTTATACAAATTAAATCGCCTTTATCTTCATATCAATCTAAACCAAGTTTATTGTTTTTTTTTTACTTTAGAGACTCAATTTAATAGAGATTAGGAAAATTACCAGTTAATTAGATAAGAAATAATCTTCATATTTAAATTAAATAAGGAATTATAAAAAATTTTAAATTAAAAGATTTTAGATTAATATACATATATGCTTTATGATTAATTTTTTTTAAAAAAAATCACATTTATAAAAACCGGAACTAACCGAAAAGAACCGTTATAAATTCTAAAAACCGATCTGAACCGCTATAAATTTCTTCAAAAAAAACCCATGGAACAAAACCTTTATAAAATTTTTAACTAAAAATCTAAACAACTGCTTTACTTAACTGTTGAAACCCCTGTATCAAAATTTTTAAAATTTTTCCCCAAATATTATTTCCCGCCACTATTTAAAAATTTTATCTCCTCTTCAATCGATTTTTCTTTTCTGGAATGGACTTTGGATCCAAAAAATTATTATGACAGATCCATTTGTATCTGAATGGGGGGTGAGCTACAAAATAGTAATCGCGTAACATGTAACTGGCGTCGGTAAATAGAGCCCCATAGTGAAAATTATATTTGGTTTCACATGAAAGGATTTCACGTTTAGGCTAGAGTCCGATATGGGATATATCTGGGGATGCCATATGTTATTAGGTATGGCCAAAAGTCAGATGTTGGTTAGTTGTTCTGTTCCCAAAAGTATATAATGAATTTCACGATTTTTTAAAATTCGTTTGAGGAAAAGATTCTATTTTTGTTATCTGCCTGATTTTTACCATATAAGGAACATTATAATTCAAAAGGGCTTAGTTTATATAAAAAAATAGGCCTATAATTATGTCGCCCATAAATAATTTATTTTAATATGCGCTATAATATATATTTACCAATTACTAGTTGCCTAGTGTAATAATGATGGTTCAAAATATAGTTACTAATTTTTATATTCTGACATTTTAATGAAATACAATTGTTCATTTTTTTTGTAATTTATTTAATTTAAGATCTCAAAAAAAATAGATAACTAGAGAACGTTTTTGGAAAAGCTGTTTTACAAAATAATTTGGACAGCTAAACGTTTATAGTTTTAAAAATATAAGTCATATAAACTCGATTGACTGCTGTCCTTCTTATCACGAATTTATAGCTATTTGAAAACTAAAATTGCATCTTTTTTAGGGGAAGGTAAGTATGATTCACTCATATATCACGCATCAAAATCGCTTTTTAATCTTCTAATCTTGTTTTTATTTACACGCTTTACGCCTTTTTTTAACAAAAAAAAGTATAATTTAAATCTCGATAATTGAAGAAGGAATAAATTAAAAAATTTACAAATGGATATTACATTTTATTTTCCCCCTTAAAGCTATTTTCAAATTATATTACCATATCATAATATATTAATATTATATTTATTATAATTAATTTTATATTAATTACAATAGGAATTATTAAATTTAATCTATTAGCCTTTTTTAAACTAAAAGTACAAAGGTAACTTATATATTACATTTTGGAGTCAAAATTGAATTTTTTTTTATTAAAGTAGAATTATATACTAAAAAAATATATGGATCAATTGTTTTTTATAAGCAAGATTCCCAAGAAGGTGCCATAGTTGTTATTTGAAAGCTCCTATCTGTAGTTTCTGTCGGAGAACGAAATTCTCTCAGTTCATTTGTTGAAAACGTTTTGATTTTATTGCTTAATTGTTTATTTATGAGTTCTGAAAGGAAAAAAAAGAGATGTTCATTTGTTATAAAGAACGATTGGAGTGAACACCTATTGTCGATTTGTTTTAAATATTATTTTTTTTAATCATTCTTGATTCGGGTGTTAATAAAAGATTCGAATTTGTATTTGAATGGGAATGAGGAAACACAAATGAAATCCCAAATACGGGATTTGAATGATTCCCGAAAGATTGCCAATCCTTCATATCTCAGGCTTTGCTCGATGAGAGATTGATTGGTTGCAAAATGTTTGGAATGCGCGCTGCTTTTAGGCTTGGTCAGATTTAACGAGGTTTAACGGTGTCGATCCTGATTGTCAATCAAGTCCACGCCCCGTCCCCTTTAGAGGTGGCAAATATGTTGAAATTTATACAATTATATGAGTGGACTATGTATGTATGTAACATTAGAAATCGTGAGAATATGGCAACTCTCTATTATTATTTTTTCTATAATAAGAGATCACCGATGTGATCGGTTAGTGCCTCCAACCAATCATTCCTCTACTTAAGTCTGTTATCAGACTGAATGAGTTGTATAGAATCTAATGTTGAAGGATTAACAACACTAATATAGAATATTGGGGAGTTGGGGGGTGGGGAAGATATAATATATCTTTAAAAAATTTTATAATAAGGGTACAAATTTTTTTTAAAAATTGGTTAATAATTAATAACTAATGAAAATTGAGTTTTTCCCAAGAATTACGCTCGTCTCCTTATATTTATTTTCGCAAAATGGTCGATCGGTAATATGAAGCCATGATATCATGAAAGTTATTCAATCCGGAGGCGATACAAAGATACGAAAAAGATACGAAAAAGAGTTTAAAATAAATCTATTAAATTTTGATATTTAAAAAATTATTTTTATTTGCATTGTCAGTAAATAGTTAAGTTTTCTTTAAATATGTAAAAAAAATTATTTTCTTATATAAACATTTGCGAATTATAAAAACGAACGTTTGTCTCGAGCGAATACGTGTATTACAAAAATTGTAAATATTTCTAAGAACAAATTGAAATTTTTCGTTGCTTGCCTCTTTAGACATTAAGGCATTAGCTAGTTAATGAAGGAACCTAATAAGTTGGCACTATTTTGTGATCAACGAAGTTGGTGGATTGCTGGTTTAAAAAAGCGAAACTCGGTTAACCACCTTAGAAACGACGACTTATTGAGAGTATGGTATGATGGCCCACGTAAAGTTAGCCTCATTTTAAGTACCATTTAAGTCCGAATTTTTAATTATTCACCTGGGACACACACAAGCTTATGGATAATCTAAAAATATTCGTGATAATTTTGCGAGATATATGATATTTACATAAATTATTTTAAAATATTAAATATTAATAATATATTTAATGGGTAATTAAATTTATTTAAAATTTCTCTTTGATGATAAAAGAGATACGATTTTATTTCACACCGCAGTCATGGCCCTCTTATTAACCTTTTTATTACCTGTATATTTATTATTTTAATATCTTTTTACCTCAGCTTATTAATATAATATAAAATATATATTTTTTATTATCCTTTGTTATATTATTTTATTTTTATATAGTAAATATTTTACTCAATAATATTCAATTAATAAAATTTCAGCCAAGATTATTAAAAATAAAGAATATAAATTTAGCGTCAGGACTTTTTTTTAAAAAAAAACATATAAAATTATATAGTATATATCCTAATCCCATTAAAATAAAATATCAAACCTTGGCCAAGTGTATTCATTATATCTGCGCCTTCTATCCATTTACAGCGTAAATATGTGTAGCATCTTTTAACCATGGTCCGACACCGTTAAATGCAATCAAAAAAATTTATACAATTAAATAAACATCACTCAACATCATTTTATACAAAAACTTAGCACGTTTTTTTTAAAAAAAATTTTAAATCTAATTTTACAGGGAAATTATAGCATGTTCCTACTTTATAAATGATAAAAATAGTCTTTGGAATTTTTGCAGAACTATTTATTTAAATTATATAAAGTTGGGCAGTTCTGCGAATACTTGTATCTAATGTACAAGATCCTTTTATATCTTATACACTTTTTTGAAAAGATATATATATCTGTATCTAAGATTCTTTATTTAGGATCTTGTATCTTTTTCATTTTATTGGAAAAAGATACAGATACATTTTATATTTTCCGGCCCATATACTGTTCTCTAGCCCACATTTTCATACCTTTCTAAGGAGAAATCTTCATACTCTTAATACTCCAAAATATTATTTTATTTTCTCAAATGGTAATGTTATTTAACATAAATATTCACAATATTATTTGAAGAGTACATTATATTCTTTTGATGAGATTTATCCTTGATCAGATAAGAATAAAGCAACAAAAAAACAACAAAAAAAACATATTTGACAAATTGACATAATTCATATATATTTTGAGCATGAAAAATTGAATTGACACGCAAAAAGTTGCTATCTAACTGGGTTAGAAAAATTAGTAAGATACAAATACAAAATCTCTTCAATACTATGTTACATAATTATCTATTTTTCTTTTTTTTTTGATTTGGTTCACAATCCAATTCACTCTTCTTATTTTTCATTATTAAAATTATATGTCAAATTTATCAAAAAAAAACACTATTTTCTAACGATCCCTCCTGTCAGAATTTTACTAAATTTATTTAGCATTACAAACTAAAGTTAGTATGGGGCAAAATTTTAGTCTCCAATGTTTTCTGCTTTTTGGGTGAATTTAAAATTTGACGTAAATTATTTTTTTTGTTGATTGATTTCCTTCTAATATCAATCAATAAAAGTATTTTTTCGATATCTTAAACATTAAGATATCTGAACAAATCAGACCGCATGCCGGGTTGGGGGCTGAAAATTTTAACCGGCCCGGTAACTCGTGTAAAATATTTTGCAGAATTCGGATTATATAATTGAAACTTCTATGGAAAATATTAATACATAATGGCCGGATAACTTTTATAACATGTTGAAGAGCCAATTCACCATATAAGTCAGAGATTTCCGGGCCGGTATTTTAATTTTTTTAAATATACCCGGGTCGGTCTTAAAAATTTCTTTTCTTTAAATACCCGAACCGGGTCGTATATTTAAAGACCGGGTATTTAAAATCGCCACTATTAGCTGATATAAAATTTAAGAATAAATTGCAATTATTTTAAAATAATCCGGGCCGGGCCGTGAAAATGGTACCTCTATGGGTCTCTAATATATAAAGTAAATTATAAATAATAATTGCTTACATTTTAACAATCCATTTACAAAATATATCATTATATGATTATAAGTAATAATTGTTAGATTTTAAAATATATAAAATATTCAAAAAATTTTTTCAACATCCGCGTAAGATAAAATTCGTCTGGTTTATTTTTTATGATAAAGAAACTCGGACATAATATTTAATGAAATTTAATATCAGATATTATTATTTTTAATATAAAAAAAACGTAAAATAAAATAAAATGTATCTAAAATAGATACCGATATCTCTTAAATAGTATCTAGATACCGTTACTTTCCCAAAATGTATCTAGCTAGATACTTTAAAACTGCTAAACTCTACTTATTAAATTAAATTAGCTAATAAATTTCTATATTATAATATTTTATTTTTTTTAAAAAAAAACAAATATGATAAATAATAGTCATATTTTGTAATGGATTATGATCCAACGATAGAAGATTCTTACAGGAAGCAATGCTTAATCGATGACGTTATAGCCAGATTAGATAGTAACATATCTAGATACCGTTACTTTCCCAAAATGTATCTAGCTAGATACTTTAAAACTGCTAAACTCTACTTATTAAATTAAATTAGCTAATAAATTTCTATATTATAATATTTTATTTTTTTTAAAAAAAAACAAATATGATAAATAATAGTCATATTTTGTAATGGATTATGATCCAACGATAGAAGATTCTTACAGGAAGCAATGCTTAATCGATGACGTTATAGCCAGATTAGATAGTAACATTAATATTTTATACTTGTATATTTTATATAACTAACATATGGAAAAGAAAAAATAATTAGTATTTATCTGAGTTCTCTGCATAAATTAAAAAAAAAAAATTAAAATAAGAAAATTTGACTTGAAAAAGTATTAAAAAATAATTAAATATATATATAACAAAATCTTTTAAATGTGATCGCGTGATTTTAGGAATACATCATAGAGGTCTGCAGAGGGCCAGTTTTGGCCAACAAACCCCGACCATCCACTTGTTGCTTTAAAATTATTTAGCGGCCTCCCGTTCACTTATGGTGGATTTGTTTATAATATCCCCTTTAACGTATTTTCGATTAATCTTTTAAAAATATGCAATAATATAATGAAATAGAAAGATAAATTTTTTAATATAATATAAATATATAAAAAGTCTGTTCTGCTTCATCTCGCGCCGAAAAATTTGTTAAAAATTCACCGATCCATTTTGAAAAATTTTGTTTTATTTAACCCCCACGCTATCCGCCTAATATTCAAAATATTTTCAGAAAGCCCGCCCAGAGAATGGACGGGCGGGCGGACTGGCTAAGAACCTACCCATTGCAGACCCTTAAGTGTAAAAATGGATAGATATTGGTAAGTATTTATTACATGGGTATTATTTATTATGTAATAGCGATTTTAATTTTGTTTTATTTTCATACATTTAGTTAGAAAGAATGAAAGAAAGAAAGATAGATAGATAGATAGATAGATAGATAGATAGATAGATAGATAGATAGATAGATAGATAGAAAGAAAGAAAGAAAGAAAGTTAAAACCTTAACTAGTCAATTTCTCATTTCAATTAAAACAAGAGCATCTCAAGCATTTAGGTATCTTGCTAACCGTGATGATCATGTTTAAAATTTTTTATCACCTTTATTTATAGGGGACATAGTACATTTAAATTAGTGTTTTTAAATGGCTCGATTTGAGTCGGGTTTTAAAACCGACTAACTCGGTATTTTATCCAGCATAGTATTACGCAAGGTTAAAGATTTTGCACATAGATAGCACAACGGTTTGGACATCTAGTATAGCGAAAAGGCTAGGCTTAGAAAATATTTTTCCGGCTACAATAATGAGTTAGCCGTTTGACAACACCAATTTAAATTGCGATAATTTTATCATCTTGGGCTGATGAAGTGTCAATTTTAAAGAGTCTAGAAAGTCGGAAAATGAACCAATAATATTTCCGAATATTTAGTATGGTCAATAAACTACCGGTGAACTATGGATTAATGCTAGTGATATAGAATTATTTAAATTAAATATGGTTGGCCATTTTTTTTTAACAACACTACTTTTGATCATCGATATTATCAGAAAACTATTAGTATTAGGAAGACTACAATTTTGGAGATTCGAAGCCTTCTAATGTTCCCTCTCTGTAACGCAAAATTTTTATCAAAATTAAAAGGTATGGGGATTTATCCGGTATCAGCTGTGTCTAGGGTTAGCGTCAAAATAAATAAAAAAAATTTGCTATAGGTTATTTCACTTTTCCGTACCTTCGCATTATACTTATTTTTGTTATATAGAAATCAATTTATTTTATTTTATTTAAAAAAATTTATTTATGAGAAATAAATGTCCATATATCTACAAAAAGTGGCTGTTAGAAAAAAATGACTATGCTGAAGGGCTGCTCATCCCAATTTAACGAAAATGGGACCCTGGGAACACATACTAAAAATGGCGTAATGCGTTCTTTATCACATCAACCATCCTATTTCTCCCTGTGAAAAATAAAATATTAAAAAAGAAAATTATTAAAATTTGCAAAAAATATTCACAATTTAAAAAAAAAAATTGAAATCGGGTACCGAACGTTTTAACCCTAGAAACCATCTTTCTAAAAAAACAGAATGTCCCATTTAAAGCATGATCCATTTTATAGTGCTTCTCGAGAGGCCCCTCTACCTAGTGTTGTTAAAGGGATCGATTTGGCCAATTTTAAACAAGATTTTAGCCAAAAGGCCTCGAGATTTCGTTAATAGATGTCCTGATCTTTCTGCCATCTATGAGCATAATCCCCAGGTCCGCGTAGTATTTTTTTGGCTATAATACTGTGTTAAGCCTTTTTTTTTAAAAAAAACCGACCCATTTAATAACACTACTGTCTATACCTTCACGTGATTAGAATCTTTAATCCTAGATTTTTTTTTGGGAATCTTTATAATTCCAATTTTATGTCCTTCCATATTTTTTGGTAAAAATAACAAATCGATGATTATTTGATGAATGAACTTTTATTTATTTTTTTCTGATTGAAATTTATTTATTCGAAACCACTTCCCCTGACAGTTTTGGACACCGCGGGACAAGAAGAATTCAGCGCTATGAGGGAACAATACATGCGGACCGGAGACGGATTTCTGCTCGTTTTTTCTTTGAATGATAGGAATAGGTTTGCTATAATTTTTTTAAAAGGCTATGTCCAAAGTTGATCCGGCCGATATAATTTCTATTAAATTTTCCCGGCCCGGACCTATAAAATTTAAGGAAAAGTCAACCCAAGCCGATAAGATATTTTTGGCACGAATATTCCAAGACATCTGATATGTCAACTAATATCTTTATATTCTCTCTTCCTATGGTTATCTGTTTCTTTCTACTTTTATTTGTAATTGGATCATGTCATAAATAACTTATAATAATTTTTTAGTGAACCTACTATATATATACATATATATATTGTTTATAGATTTAGAGTGTTGGTTTATAGAGCTCTTAAAATAGAAAGTAAGAAATAGGCATATTTGTAATATATTTTCAAACAGAAATAATCAAATATTAGCTCGAAATTTAATATATAAATATTTTCGCAAGTGCCCTATCAAGATTTTAGGAAAAATCAGAGATTTGGAATGCCCATTCCCATTTTTAAAATTCATATTTTCCGGCCAGCTCCGAAAATTTTTTTATTAACCATCACGGCCTTCTATTGAAGAATTTTTTAAAATTCCCGGCCCACGCGTCGTGGAGGGGCCTTGCACACATGATATCTAATCATTATTAAATACATGATTTGTCAAAACAAATATTTGACCAATAAAAATATATTTTATTTGTATAACCCATAATGAAATTGATTAGTGATAGGGGTCATTGAGTGTCCTATGAACGTTACCTTATGTCAAATAAACTAATAAATAAATTGGGTAATGATGGGTAGTCATTGAGCTTCCTAAGAAGAATTGCCTTTTTGTCAAATTATTGATGCTTAAGAGAGTTTTCTAGCCATGCTTTTGGAGGAGAGTAGGTTAGATAAGGTTGAAAAAAATATGCGGTAAAATGCCTAAGTTGCTGCAAATTTCTAAAATAAAAAATTATTTATAATATACTCGATTATAATTACTTCTCTCACACTAATGAAAAAACCAAAAAAATTAAATTAGTGGAAAGTATATTTAATAATATTTTTTTTTTTACATTTTTAAAACAAATTAATTTTTAATGAATTTAGCACATTTTATTTTTATTTTTAAAAAAAAAATATTTTTAATAGTGTTTGTTAAAGGGCTCGTTTTGAGCCGATTTTTTAAAACGGCTAACTCAATATTTTAGCCAGAAATGCGATAATTCTATGTCTAGAACTTTGTTCCATCTCTGAGAAAAATCTTCAGCCGTGCGTAATATTTTTCTGGATGGAATATTGAGTTTGCCGTTTTTAACAACACTAGTATTTAACCTTATTTATTTTTACCATTATAAACAATTAATAAAAAATAATATAAAATCAAAAATCTGTTAAGAAGAGGGGAAAAATGTGAAAGGGAAAAAAAAATTTTTAATCATATATAATAATTATTATTAATTAAAATGTTAAGTTAAAAATTTAATAGTGTAAATTTTATAGTAACTATATAAGGTAATCAAATAATTACGTTATAAATTATAATAAGTAATATAATCATTAATAAAAAATATATATTTTATAAAAAATAATACATATTGTTAAACTGCTCATTTTGAGCCTAATATTTTGGCCAGAAAAATATTGCCTTAGCCTCGAGATTTCTCTAATAGATATCCAAACCTTTGTTCCTTCTACAGACAAAATCTTCAGGCCTGCGTAATATTTTTCTGGATGAAATATTGCTCAAAACGTGCCGTTTAAATAACACTACATATATATATATGGTAAAGCGGAAAATAACCTTAAAACTTTAGTAAAACTTCTAATAACTTAAATAAAAAAAAACTAATTGAAATTGTAAATAGTGAAATGGGTAATATAAAAATATTTAAAGTTCTTGAAGTAATAGGGACAGTGTGAGGGAAAAGGCTAAGGATATTATATGACAAAACAGATGAGAAAATACATATAGAAATTGACACTGTAATTCTACCTACCGACAATTTTCGGTAAAAATAGATGCTGTACGACGTACCGGAAAAAAAATTCCCTAATAATAATTCTTAGAAAAAAATTTCTGGGAATTTATTTTCTCTAAATTTTTTTTAAATATATTATTCTAGGGTTTTTATTCCGTGAATTATATTTATAGGGAATTTTTTTCCCCCCTATTTTATTAATTTTGTAATTTTTAATATCTTCAAACTAGATTCATATATATATATTATGTCGTAATTGGGATTAGAGATGGGCGCGGGCCAGATTTTTCATTCACGCACGTCACGCCCGAAAATTCACGATGTTTTTAAATTTTTCTAAAACTATTGCAATAATTTTACACTTTTTTGAATTCATTCTATTTATTTCTCTCATTTCATAATCCATATTAATAACAAAAAATAAATATAATCTATAAATCGAAATTTATTTAGAAAAAGAAGAATGTCCATCTTTTTTTATTTCAATTGTGTACGCCTTTCCTCTAATAAGAGATTGGCTACAGAAAATAACTTTTCACTAGAAGCCGAACTTGCAGCTTACAAATTTTGCTCGATAATTTTCTCAAAAAAGGAGATGAATATTCCTGCTTCCAAAACTTCAAAATATTGTCGTTATTTATCTTATGAATCTTTTAAGTTCATCCTCAGAGCTTTCTAGGTGATGTTGATGCTTCATCAGAATCATCTAGAAATTCTCTAAAAAAATTTTTAGAATATACGGTCTTTTATGAGTGTAGGATGAATTAGGAAAGTGATAGTTGGTATTGACCATTTAGAATATACGGTTTTTTATGAGTTTAGGATAAGTTAGGAAAGTTATAAATGATAGTTGGCATCGTATGCATATCATCTAATTTTATATCATTTAGCATTTTTATGATTGTTTTATATATATCATTTTCTTCTTTTATTAACTTAAGTCTTTTGAAATTCGGATCTAGAATTAAGCCTACCTTATGTAGTGGCTGCATAATAATCTTTTAAAATAAATCTTCTTCTGTATTTTAAGGTTTTGATTATTATTGTATCACGTTCAGAAGGTTAACAAAATATTATTAATTTTTCATTTATTGTGGGATGAGAATCTGCTCTCAGATTATCCGAGCATTCTTTAAATATTGATAAAAATTTATCTAACTCGCATATGATACTGATATCAATTGTGGCTAATCTATTTAATTTTTGCTTGCTAAACAAGCACACCTATATTTCAGAATATGATTTTAAGAAACTCTGTATCATGATATATACAGAGTTCCATCTCGTTATTCTCGCTATTACATCTTGTTTAAAAGGGTGTGGCTTAGTTTGATATTAGCTGTAGATTGTTTGAAATATTGTACTATTTTTTTACACCATTTATATTTAAGGCTGTTTCAAGTTAAACAATTGTCAAAAATATAATGCATAATATTATTTAGTATATGGCATATACATGCTAGCGTTTCGTCATCTTTGAATGCACTTATAAGATTTGCTCCGTTATCACTCACAACTATACATTTATTTAAGTAATTTTCTACTTCTGAATATTCTCCTAAAATTTTGACTACACTTTTAATTTTGACGTTTTTTCCATCCATTGCCCTTGTGGCCAAAACAAATGTTTTTAATTTAAAATCCTTAATGATAATATGTCCTGTAATGGTTAAAAAACACTTAGATTTTTATAGTCATCCGTCAAATATCAGTGATTATGGACAAGTAATTATTATTGATCATGCTTTTAATCTTAAATTTTATTTTATAGTATATTTTTGGACCTATAGTATTCATGAGAGTTTTCCGGTTCACAACTTTTATATTTTGTTATTCACGTGTAACACCAACATTTATCTCTTGGTCTAGCTTTAAAATTTTCCACTTTCTGTTGCATTTAAAGATTGAAGATATTTACAAATAAAGTATAACTGACTTTTCTGTAAAAAGTTTAAGCAAAATTTAGCATAAAATCTCGCGATAAAAAACACCTAAACATAAAAAGAAAATAGAACTAGCGAAATGATACTACCGGATGTTGTTTATAAAATGCGGAAGATTTTTAGTTTTCATAAATTATTCTTTTTTTAAAAAGAAATAAATTAAATTAAGAAAATATATAATATAATTAATAAATTGCAAATTTATATTTATAAAAAAAACAATTTTAAAAATTAAAATTTCCGTGATTCACTAGAAATTTATGTTCACACCCAGGGAAAATTTTGGGAAAGCCCGTCCGCCTTGGAATTTAAAATTTATTCACACTCACGCCATGACACGATGGGTTACGCGTAATTTCACGGCCCGCGCTCACCTCTAATTTGGGATACGATATTTTTTTTAACATTTTCTTTTATAATAAAATAACCTCTTATAAATTTAAGGCATATAATGAATGAAAAGGGATGAGGTTAATACATTTTTTGTTTTTGTAAATTTATATTTAAAATCATAAATATTTTTCACGGTGAATTTATATATTTTTAAAAAAAATTCGAATTTTAATAAAATATATATTATTGATTGCAACAATTTCGTGTTGTTAAATGGCGGCTAACTCCTTCATCCAGAAAAATATAACCTAAGCCTGAAGAATTTGCTCATAGAAGGAACAAAGGTCTAGACATATCTTATCGAAATCTTGAGGCTTAGGCAATATTTTCCTGGCTAACATATTAAGTTAGCCGTTTTTAAAAAATTAGCTCAAAGCGAGCCCTTTAATAACACCACTACAATTCTTCAAAGCTATATGACATTTCGTTGAACATTTTAAGATTGTTCTTGAAACACTCGCATCTTTTATTCATTCATGCAATTCATTTTGCAATTGCATAGCGATGTTTTCCCATAGTTTGTGACATTCTGGGAAGCTCCTAAATATTTTTAGCAGTTTAAATTAAAAAAAAAATTAAATGATCTTGGGGCCGTCAAAACATAATTTTATTCTCAAATAATTGGACAAATCACTTGTTATTACCTATCCGTTAGGACAGACAGAACTAATAACTATCGTTAAAATTAAATATGGGTAATAAGAACGTGTGCCGGAAGAATTTCAACACCATTTTTGCCTTCTAGTTTATGTAAAACAATTAAATATTTTGAGGTTCCCAACAAAGATACAATTCATAGGTAATTTAAGTTATTTTTATAGTAACCACATATACTCAAATTAATTTATATACATAAAATATATTAATTTTTTATTTAAACTGCTAGAAAGAAAGAAAGAAAGAGGTGAATAAATTTATTTTCATTAAGTTCTTGTTGTAAATAAACTTTTTTATTTATGTTTAACCCAGGTTGGGAAACAGGGATTTCAGAATCTATCTGTGCAGTATTCGTCTTAAATTATGAATACCCCGACTTTATAAATTTAAATTTTGACTCCAACTTCGAAGATTGCTCATCGCATTCTAAAAGAATTATTGTCGTTATTTCTTTCTTTCTTTCTTTCTTTTATTTAGTAGCTTCCTGGAATGTCACAAACCATGGGAAAACATCGTTATTCGATTGCAAAAGTGGGTTGCATGAATAAAAGGTGAGTCATTCCATGTCAAATCAATCACTTTACAACCCGACCATCTCAGATTTCGTTCAAATTTGGTATTTAAGTTAATAAAGTATTGTAATTGACGAATCCAAAATATCAGACTCTTATCTCTATAACCGGAGATATAGGGCTTCAAAGTGGCTCAGTTTGGTCATCCGCACCTTTTCGAGCGTTTCAAGAACAACCTTAAATGTTGAACTAAATGTCATATAGCATTGAAGAATTGTTGCAACAAATACTTCTTTTTTTTAAATTAGGATTTTCAATTAAAAAATATATACATTCACGTGCAAAATATTTATGATTTTAATTTAAATTTACAAAAAACAAAAAATGTATTAACCTTATCCCTTTTCATTCATTTATATGCCTTAATTTTGTACTATTTATTTATTTTTTTAAATCTTGGCCTTTTAAATATATCCTTTTTTGATAATTTATATCAAGTTATAAAATAATAAAGAAAATGTTTAAAAAAAAGATAAAACAAATATCAGATATCTAACAACTCACCCACAGATTTTTAAATTAAATTTGCCAACCTACAATATGGCATCCTTGTCAGATTAGCTTTCTATATTACTTCATTTATCCCCGGGTATTTTATTCGTAGATTTTTTCCCCATTAACCAAAGCAATTTTTTTTTTCACACGATCCTAACTAATTTAATACTATATTGCTGAATATACTCTAATAAGCTCGTCGTTGATAATAGGAAAAGAACTGGTAATTTACATAGCTAAAAAGTTGTATGGAAAAATTGTTTTAAAGTGATTTTCACTAATTAGTGATATCCGTATAATCGGCCAATATCAACTCGATACTGTATTGGCAATATCGGATCGGATCGACCTGCAAAAAGCTGTAATCGACATCCCCTAATTAATACCGCGCGTGTTAGTATCGGTTTAAAAATTTTATATGGATTCATCTCTATATTGAACATTTCCTACATCTGTGATCACTTTGTTCTCGAACACTCGTCTCCATCCTAATTCCTTTCTATTATATAACGCGATGACGACCTGCGTTATTATCCTAGAGGTCTGCATTTGACGGATTTTTTCGCCCGCCTCCCACACCCATGGGCTGGCGTGCGAGTAAATTTTTTTTTAAATTATAAGTAGGAGGGTTAAATAATTTTCAGAACAACGAGTGGACCGGTTTTGGCTAAAACCCGCCCATTGAAGACCTCTAATATGGCGGCAAATCCATTTGTATAAAAAATTTCCATCAATTCAACTATTAAATAATGTGTTACTTTCATTATATTACTATTATTTTAAAGTTTTGAAGAGATCAACAAATTTCGTAAACTCATACTCAGGGTTAAAGATACCGATCAATTTCCCATGATTTTAGTCGGCAACAAGTGCGATATACAGCAACAATTCAGAAAAGTTTGTAAAATTTAGACCTTTTTTAATATAAAATACTTTTAAAACTGACTGACAAACGAGAAAATCTAAAATTTTAAATAAGCAAATTTTGTTCAATTTTAAAAACCAATATTATTTTTTTTTCTTTCTACAAACGGGGTGGGGCCATGTGGACTTATTAAGCGTCTTCTTGAGAATAATATACGGGTTGGGGCCATATGGTCTTTTTTAAACGTCTTCTTGAGAGTAATATAGGAAATGGGGCCATATGGACTTCTTAAGCTTCGTTGGGGTCTTATGGGCTTCTTAAGCGTTTTCTTGAGAGCAATATACGGGATGGACAAACTATCTTCCTTGAAAAGGGAGCGATAAAAACTCTGAAAATTATTCAAACTATTGACCAAACAAGAATTAGGAGCTGTAAATTTATTTTTGTACAAATAAGAGTTTTTTTTTAAAAAAAACAGTTGTTTTTTATTTTGATTTTTAAATCTAAATTTTTTACCGGTAAAATTTTTTTGAAAAACGGTAAATGAAGACATCGGTATCTTAATTTTATTAGGAGTATAATTGGGGTAATTACTATATTTTTTAGCCTTTTAAGCCAATTATTTAACTAAAAAAAATCGGCTAAACCTAGTTTTAAGCAGAGAAAGCTATCACTCCGAACTCGCCGTTTTTCTCTTATATATATATTAAAACGCTTTAAATGGTAGCGTTTTTTTCACCGGAACGCGCGTGTAGGTTGAGGCGAATTAGCCGACATTTAACCATTACCCAACTATAATTAAGAGTAAAGTAAAAAAAAATCAAATCAAGTTTAACCGATATTTTAAAATGCTGAAATTTATTCTAGGATAACTTTCTTCCAAAAAAAAATAATTCTTTAAAGATGCGTAATGAATTTATTTTTAACTTTAAATAATTATAGGTTGATAACAAAGAGGCGCAAAATTTGGGAGATCAAATGAATATTCCCTATATCGAAACGAGTGCTAAATTAGGCATCAACGTCGATCTCGCCTATCATAATCTAGTTAGAGCAATTAGGTTTATATAACTTTTTGTTTTTTATTAATCCTTTTTTTTAAAGACCTGTTATGGTAATTGAAGAATTATAAAATGTCTTATCGCCTATTGATACTATATATTATTAGTATACTGGGAGCTTTGCTTTATTTGTATTAGAGAATTTCCAGAACAGAACGTTTTTTTTTGCTTTTCAAAACGGTTTTTGAGGCAAGTTTTCCAGCAATTTTTTGAAATTTATTTTCAAGCAAAGGATAATAATTAGTCTAATTAATTAGTTTGCTTAATATATTAGAATAAAAATCTAGAAGTGATAGTTCGATCTCGGGGCGGCATTTATTCAATGATTGTGAATAAATATAATTTTGCCGAGATTGGTAGGGAATAAAGAGGTTCTTTTTAGGATTGAGTATTATCCATCGATGGGAAGGATTATCTCTTTAGTTATGGTTGCAGGTATACAAATTGCTTCTCTAGCTAAATTAGCAAGTCTAGGAAGTTGCAGTCCCTTTTTTCCCAAAAAAGGTTAGTGCATCCGGTTCTGGTATATTATGTTTGCCGATTAAAATGTGGCATTATTGCTCTAGATTCATGATGTTTGTATCTTCAACTTGAACCTTACCTGCATTTCTATGATTCTCTATATAAGTTTTAAATGACGATAATGTCGGAGAATTTGAATTAAATATAAATTTTAATATTTTTAAATATTGGATCAAGTAACAGTAGTGAAGGTCAACGGTCCGGTCTTAGACCGGGACCGGACCGATTGCCGGATCGATCTTTTTTTTGAGGACCGTGGTCCAGACCGGTCTTTTATTAATATTTAAGTTTGCTTTACTATTCAATTATTATAATTTTTTTGTATATTTTATTTTATGAATTAATATTTAAGTTTGCTTTACTATTCAATTATTATAATTTTTTTGTATATTTTTTTTTATGAATTTTTCTAGAGGAGTTATTTTAGATATTGTTAAATTTTATTTTACAATATGAAAACCATAAATTTGTCCAAGAAACATTTTACTTATAGTCCCAATAAAAAACATAGAGTATGTATTCACTGCAATACCAAATATAATGTATCGTCAGCAACAAGTAATAAAATAATTGTTTATAATTTTTTAAGCAGTAAATTAATCAAAATAAGCAGTATTATTATTAAAATATTTTGGTTATTATTTATATAGTTCTATTTTTTCTTAAGAAACTGTCTAAATAATTCATTGTTAAAATAACTTAACCTTATTCTTAATAAAATAATTAGGTACCTTAAGCAGGCATCTGATAAAACATAAAATATATACCTCTAATGATGAAAATGGAAATATCTCAAAAACACAATCTACTCTTAATTTTAATATGCCCTCCACAAGCACAAAATCACTTTCTTCAATACCATTGGATAAATTTCAAACTGAACATATGAACCAATTAATAATAAAATGGGTAATAATGGACTGTCTGCCAATGAAGACTTTTGAAAGTTTAGGTCTTCATAATTTAATCAAATATTTAAACTCAACTGCTACAATTTGGTCTAAAAACAAAGTTAAAAATTTTTATACAGTTAATTTTGAGAAACTAAGAAGTTCTTTAAAAGATATTTTAAATAAAAATAATTCTTTAATAAGCTTTACCACAGATATGTGGAGCAGTATAAATAAAGTTTCATTCATAGCCATTACTGCTCACTTTATTGACTCTTCTTTTACATTAAAAAATATTTTACTTGATATAAATCATATCCCATTTCCTCATACTTCTGAAGAAATATCCTTAGCTATAAAAGAAGTAATTGATGTATATCAATTGGAGAAGAATATACTGGCTTGTACTACAGATAATGCCAATAACATCCTAAAAAGCATGGATATTTTGCATATTTACAAGGAACAAAACTTTAAAGGTTTCAGATGCTGTGCCCATATTCTAAACTTAATATCTCAGGAAGGTTTATCAACAATTACAACTATCCTAGAAAAGTGTAGAGACATTGCCTTTTCTATAAATAAATCACCCAAAATAAATCAAGCATATGTACAAATATGTGAAAATAAGGGTATTACAAAATTTAAAATCCCTTCTGATATCCCTATTAGATGGAATAGCTCCTATTTAATGATGAATACAATTTATGAGGTATTTACATTTTTATCCAATTATTTTTAAAAAATATTTAATTTTTAGAACATGGATGCTATAGAAGAAGTACTTTTTTTGAATTACAAACAATTTAAAGGGGTTTTCTTTACTGAGTGTGAAAAGAAGAACTTAAAGAGGCTGTAGATTTTCTTAGGCCCTTCTATAAAACCACTTTTGATTTATCAGGATCGAAATATCCTACAGTTGGGATTTCCATGTTATATATGGAGAATATAAATAATGAAATTTTAAATAATATAAAAAAAGATAATAACAATACAAGAAAAGAAAAGAAATTCTTAATAACATGCTGGTTAAAATGCAGAAATATCTCAAAGATTTATTTTGTTATGAATCATATGTCTCAACATTGTTGGATCCGAGATTAAAACAAGTTTACATGCCTAATACTCTTAATAGAATTGAGTATATGACCAAATTTTCGAAATATTTAAGAAAAATACAAAATTAAAAAAATACAGGAATAACGGATTCTCAGGTATATTTTAAATATTTATTTATTAAATCCTAATTTTCAAACATTTGTGCCAGGAGGAAATCAATGAATTTAGTTTTTTAAAAAGAATTTTATCCCAAAAAAGAAATTCAGAAGGGGATTGTATATCCTCAGAAATCATTGAAGAAAATATATCAGAACTTCACACCTATATTTAAATGAACCTCTTGTTTCTTTAAAAAATGACATATTAGTATGGTGGAAAACCAATAGTGAAAGGTCTTTTATATTTTGTAAAAGTCAATATAGTTTATTATATAGATTTCCAGTCCTCTCATTAGCAGCTAGAAATTTTTTAGCAATTCAAGCAACATCTGTCCCCTGTGAACAAATATTTTTGAAGGCAGGAGATCTTGTCACTAAAAAAAGAAACAGGCTTTCAAACAAAACAATACAAGCTTTGATGCGTATGGGCTCTTGGTTAAAAAATGGAATAGATATACCGCCTCCATTAAAGCCCCTCTTCTAATTCCTTCCATAGCAATTCTACAAACAATGACATTAGCATTTATTTAAATTGAATATTTGCATTAATTATTATATTATTCATAATTAATTTTATATTGTTTATATAATACTCTTATATTTAATAAAATGATAAAACAAATTAAATTAGGTTAAAAAAAATGTTTTTTTTAAACAAATAAAAAGACCGGTCCTGGATCGGTCTTTTTATTTAGGATCACGGTCTGGATCGATCTTATTCTTAAGGACCGTGGTCCGGTCCGGTCGGAGGGTATCGGTCCAGTCCGGACCAAAGACCGGACCGTGACCCTCACTAAAGTACAGTGTCGCTAATATCTAATGTGCAAAATATAAAATTAATTACTTGCAGTTCGGTTATAGGAAACCTATATTCTAGACAAATTATATCTGAGCTACCATTTTTATTGATTTGTATATTATAATAATTTATTTCTATCGAAATAATAAAACCTAAATTAATTGTTGATCCCTTTACGGGGAGGAAGAAATTCTGCGGACTCTCTGAATGGATCTAGTAAGTGCGAATAGTTCGTCACCTAGATCACATTCGTTATTTAAAAGTTCTAAAGATTATTTTTATTCTAATATATCTTCTATATAACTCTCGCCGACATCTCAAATACTTTCTAGCATGATTAATATGCTGTGGCCAACGGGTAGGGAAATTTAATTTTAAGGGTCATATTAATTCGATCTTTTGGCGTATTTCAATATATATTTTCAGAGACCTGCAGAATTACCAATGGCACAGCCCGGCCCGGGTTTTTATTTTAAAATTAAGGCCCGGCTCGGATTTTTTTAAAATATATTATATTTATTTTTGATTATTTCAGATACCGGATATTTTTTTTAAAAGAAATTTTAAGCCCGGGTATATAACATTCATTGGAATTGTAAACCATTTTAGGAAGACATATATGTCGGTATTGGTTAAAAACGATTATAAAATTAAAAAATATATTCGTGGAAAGGTTTTCAATTTGACAGCTTCATTCAAATTTAACTTTTTAAATTTGAGACAATTTAAGCTATATTAACCATATTAAAATTCATAAAAATGTAAGATTTTAAAAAAAATCCAAGAAATTTTGCAATATTGAATAGCAGAATATTTATGCCCCCCCCCCCAGTGTATTTGAAGCGATGAAAATCAAAATCTCGTGAAATCACTTTCACAAGGTATTAGCCGTGAAATTTTGATGTGTTATATTTCGAAATCACAAGGAATATAAGATCCGGGCTGGGACGTGCAAATGGTACCTCTGCATCTGATTTTTATTATATTAAAATTACTTTAAAAAATACATAAAAACTATAAAATTTATATTATGTTTCTCAAGAAGCTAAGTCCAAAAATATCAAAAAATTCGATTCGCAAACCTTTTAAAAACCTTATAGAAAGAGATAAAAAATATATAAGCTTTTTTTTATGTATATAAGAATTAGAACATGTCCAAAATATAATTTTTGAAAATTTTAAATTTTCTGAAAGTTTTGAAACTAATTTTTTTTTTTTAAAAAAAGAGAAGATTTTGGACTTAGTTAAAAGTGGAAATTTATTTGAAGTTTTGTTTAACCGTATTTTTTTTTGACATATTCCAAAAAAAAAATTTTTTTTTAAATCATTTCTTCGATTCGCATTTTTTAATTTCATAAAAATTCAACGAAAATTGAATTTGGATAAAAATGCGCCTAAGGCCGCATTCATAGTGGATCCGATCCGACACGATTTAACAGCTGATCGATTTTTAAAATCTGTTTATGAGATCAATTTTTTTGTAATAATATTATTTTGTCTTTAATTCTATACAACATGATAATAACCTAAGAAATACTGGTTTTAACAAAGAAAAATTGATTCTCATAAACCGATTTTAAAAATCGATCAGCTGTTAAATCGTGTCGGATCGGGTTCAATTTGAATGCGGCCTAAGGTATTCAATAATTACCTAATATCGATAAGATATTTGGCACAAGTGTCGTTAAACTGCTCGATTTTAAAAATGGCTAACTCAAATATTTTAGCCAAATAATATAGCGCAAGACTCGAAATTTCGTTAAATAGATGTCCAAATCTTTCTTGCCATCTATGAGCGAAATTCCCGGGCCTGCTGATATTTTTTGGCGTAAATATTGGGTAAGCCGTTTTTTTAAAAAAAACAAACTGAGCCGTTTAGCGACACTTATTCGGCACAAAAAAAGAGGTAAGTTTTTGCTGAAATATAATTGAATTTAATATATAATCATTTGCCTTCTCGTCAAATATTTTTAACAGGTGCTATAGAGACAAAGAAAGGTTAATTCATATCTCCGACCAAAACGGAAATGGGAGTGTCAAGAATTATTTCGGCCGCAAAAAATCGAAAACAACGAAAATGTTTTGTTTTTCCTAGAAAAAAAGATATAAATATATATGTATATAAACATTTGCGAATATCGGCGACTTCAAAATTAAAAAAAAAACCCAGACACTATTTATTTTAATTGCCTAATTCGCAAACACAAAAATATTTGTATTTCCATAATGACATCAATAATCCCCCCCCCCTTAAAAATTCCAAACGATTTATATTGAATTCCCCCATCGCTCCCATTTTTTTTATAGACAAATTGTAAATCAGCTGAGGGCAAACTATTTATTCGCTTGAGTATTTATTATATATTCTCTATTTTTGGGTCCAAACTAGACTTTTTTTTTAAAAGTTATATTTTTAAAATGATTTTTTAATAATAGTTTCATACAAAACTTATATTAATATCAAATATTTAAACCCAAATTATTTAAATATTCGATATCTTGTAATAAATTACAAGAAAATATAATGATATGTAAATGGATATTTAACTTATATAATATATATTTTTTTAAAATCACTCAATAAATTTAGCAATAATAAAAAAATGTATTTTGAAATATAGAAGATTATAAGGACTAGAGAGAAAAGGTCTTTTAAGTTGTTAAATCACGACTCACTCATATTTTTTTAGAATTGTCACTTTATCAGGTAAAAAACATCTAAATTGAAATTTTTTAGACTTTTTAAAAGTAACTACAGGTGGAATCTGTGGATGTTTGCCCGATTCATCAAGTCTTTTTTTTTACTTAAAAAAAACGTTTTAAGAGTGAGATTAAGTTCAACTATTTTCAAATTTTTATTATTATTATTAATTCATCAGTCATGAGGAGTGTTGTTAAACGGCTCGTATTGAGCCGATTTTTAAAAACGGCTAACTAACTCAATATTTGATCCAGAATAATATTAAGCATGCCTGAAAATTTTGTTTGTAAAAGGAAAGAAGATTTGGACATCTGCTAGCAAAATCTCGAGGCACTTAGGCAATATTTTTCGGGCTAAAATATTGAGTTGGCCGTTTTTAAAAATCGGCGCAAAACGAGCGTTTAACAACACTAGTTTCACTAGTAAAATTATCTAAGCATATGTCAATATGCTCAAATTTAAAATCATTTTTTGAAGCGCATTTTTTTTAAATTTAAGAAATTGATTTTACCCAGAAAATATAAATGTTTAGAATACCTATTCTATGAACTTCATCCAATTTTGTGATGAACGTTTTTGACTTAACTTATAATTTATATCAGTATTTCTTTCCTTAGATTTTTTTTTAAACAAATAATTAATCCTGGAAACGGAATCATTTCAGGTAAAATAAAATTTTTAAATTTTTAGAGCTCAATAAAAAAAAAATTACACATTGTCAGAAAAAAACAGATTGGCTGCTAATATATAGATAAACTTATAACCAGGGATCCAAACCGAACCGCTAAAAACCGGTATTTTTTATCAAACCCAAACCTCTAAAAAATTTCCCGAACCTGAACCGAACCCCTAAAATGCCTCTGAACCGGTTCGAGTCTCATAATTTTATGCTTATAAAATAACGTGTGTAAGTTATTACTAGTAGTAAATTGCAAAAATTTTAATTATATTCAAATTGTTTTAAAGATTATCATCAATCTAAGTGTCAGTCATAATTTTTATAAACTTTAGTATATTGCCATTTTACAACATTTTTTAAATATTTTTAGCTTATAAATTGTAATGCCTAGAAAAAAAATAAATCTAATATAAAAATTATTTACATATATAATTATGTGTGGAAAGATGTTCTTCAACAATTACTATATTATCTTATAGATATAATTTGAGTGATACGAATTTTGAAAATATATTAATTGTGCGGCTTAATAAAAAAATTTTAAGTAATTGTTCATATTAAAATTAATCATTGACATATTTATTTTTTATATTTATAAATTAAATATTATTTTATAATATGCAATTAATAAAAATGAAGGTTTTTATTTTAATTATGAAATATATAAAAAAAATTTCCTTATACATAATCCTAATATAGGTTTGAATACAAAAGTGTTCAAACCGGTTTTTAGAGGATCGAACTGAACCATTATTTTTATTTTTTGCGAACCGAACCTGAACCTTGAACCGTTATTTTTATCCGAACCAAAACCGAACCGATATTCATTTCGGTTTGGATCCCTGCTTATAACAAAATGAATAAAATTAATTTTATAAATAAAATGCTATGCTTTATTTGCATGGCGTTTGCAAATGTCTTCTTTGAATTTAATTTATGAACATTGTTAACAGATCCTGTAGAATAAATTTTTTAGCACATTCTCGGGTATGATGCGTTATTTAAATTTATTAAATTTTATTATTTAAAATGAATTAGTTTTATTTAAAGAAAATAATAATGTAAATGAATGAATGCAACAAAAAACACAAATGTCTGCTTTATAAAGGTCTCGCGCAAATGGACCAAAAAAAATTAGAAATCTGCCCATTTTTTAAAGTAAATAGTTGCCCAATTTCAAGGCATTTTCTAAGAGGAGTTATTAGGAATTTGTTTGGGAACTCAAACTTTTAGTCAAATCAGGGTGTTTGCCCTAATTGAGCCCAAATTAGACATTTTTTTATAATTGCCCCAAATAATAACAATATATTAAAAGAATTGATTACGCAAGATAAACCAAAAAAAAATATTCATCACCAAAAATAAATGAATGAATTTACAATTACCCTTTATTACATATGACTACTAATCAGTCACATAGTGAATTTTCTGACATATTTTACAGTGTAAATTATTTTGACGCGAAAATTCACTATGTAATTGATTAGTAACATTCCTTTTATATAAAAATCATTTTTTTAATTAGAAATTCTTATATTTATTTAAAGAGCGAGTATTTAATGTCAGCTGTTCCCTATATTTCAAAATTGACATTTTTCGTAATTTTTAATTACATTTTTTTAATATTAAACTCTGATATTATTTTTCAAAAAAATATGAACCAGGTAACTAAAATATTCCTATACTCTTTTCCGTTTTTATATTTTAAAAAAGTTTAATCAAAAATTTTTTAATCGAATATATATGTATGTTACAAATAAGACTCAAATATGATTTCTTGTTCTAAATTTTTATTTTCACAAAAACAAATGTTTTATAAAAGCCATTATGATGCTATTTTTTTAATAAGCGATTAATATATTACGATTCCATTGTCCGTTATAATTTTCTTTGTTTATACGACATTCGATTATCTATTGTAGTAATCTGCATCGGGCCTAATTTTTCAAGCTCGACCCGGCCCGAACATTTTTAAAAAAGTTTTGCCGGCCCGGCCCGAATTATTTTTAAAAAAAATTTACAAACCCGGCCCGGCCAGAATTTATTTAAATGTAGAAATTAATTTTATATTACTCAAAATAAAACTCATATATTATATGTCCTATTAGTTTCAATATATCAAATATTTTTTATTTTACATAAAAAATTCAATATAGAATTGATAAATTTATTTTAAAAAAATTTCCAAGGTCCGACCCGACCCGGCCCAAAAATTTTTTTTAAATATTAGGCCCGGCTCAACCCGAACCCGATTATTTTAATAGAATTAGGCCCAAGCCGGGCCGGGTACTGACCAGGCCTAACTTTGCAGATCTCTAATCTATTGTTCATTTATATTTTTCTTTGTTTTTACGATATTCATTTATAAGAATCCCGGAAAATAATTCCCCGGAAAAAAAATTCCCCGAAAATAAATCCCCGGAAATTAATTCCCTGGAAAAAAAATCCCCAGGAAAATAATTCCCCGGAAAAAAATTCCCCAGAAAATAATTCCCAGGTAAATAATTCTCCGGAAAAAAAATCCCCGGAAAAAAAATCCCCGGAATAAAATTCCCCTGGAAAATAATTCCCCGGAAAAAATTTCCCCACTATACATTGAATTGCTAATGCATTGCTAAACTGCATTGCTAAAAGGCAATCAATCATTATCAATTATAAATCAATCAAAAATTTATTACGTATATTTTTTTAATGATAATTTTTTAAACTTTTTTTAAAATATATTTAAATCATTTTTTTATTATAAATGAAGAATACTGATTAAATGATATAGTATATAATTTTATTTTTATTTAATATTATTAATAAGAAATTTATTTTTCTAGCTTATTAAAACAAATATACATTTATTCAATTTTAAAAATTAACAAATATATATCCGTAAGAGGGCGTTATATGTTTTAATATGTATCATTTTAGGAAACCGGAATGATAATTGGATAGCATTTTTTTTATATTTGGGTATATATACATATGAAAAACCTAAAAATTAAAATTTTTTTTTAGGTTTCTTTGATGTTTAATGAGTAGGTTTAGAATAGTAAAACAATGGAAATTTTTTAAAGTAAATATTGCTGGCGTTATTTATCAAAATCTCTTCATTTTTGTTTTATACGTGTATATTTACGTGCTAAGCATTATTTTAAAAAATATTTTGAAAATAATTTGATTTGACCGATTGCCGAGCTCAAAACCGATCACTCACTAAATATTCGATTGACCAATTTTATTAGGAATATAATTTGATTCGTTTTATATATCTATAAATACGTATAAAACATAATCCTAATAATTCTTCAGAATTAATTTTATCAAAATTTTTAAATATTTTATTTGAGAATTATTATTTCGTTGATTTATTTATAGGGAATTTTTTCTCCTAATTTTGTAATTTTAATTATCTTAAAAACGGAGATTTTTTTTCCGGGGAATTATTTTTCTAGATTCATTTTTAATATAGCTTACATTTAATATATTTATTGTAGCTTTCGTTCTCTTCGCTACACTGCACAAGGTACGATTCCCAAACAATTTATTTTAAATGAAATAGTTACATTTCTCATATTTAAATAAATATATTATGCTAAGCTAACCTATCTCATATTTTACTTTTAATAAACCTTTTATCGGTCCGTTGTCTCACCCCCTCCTTCATTATTATATAGGATTTAACTTGTAATATACAATAAATTTATTGAATTTAAAACAAATTAAACAATAACATAAAATTTATCGAATTTAAAAACATTTAATGGTAAATCTAAATATATTTCCGCGAATATGAAGTTGATGATTTATTTTCAAAAAAGATACTCCAGCAGTAGTCCGCCAACATATTTATACGATTCTTGCCGGGAATTTAAATTGAAAACTTAAGACCCCCAAAACGAAATTCTTTACCATTTTTCTCAAAAAGCAATCGATAAAAAATTATAAAAATTAATAAATTTATAAGGAAATATAAATCTAACACTATCACCAATTTTCAGGGATTTTCATTTGATACTTTTTAAAATATATCCGTATTACCATTTTTGAGATTTCGAAAAGTTGCCTTTATACGATAATATTTTTAAAACTTGACGTGAAGGGAAAACTTAGAAAATGAATTCGAACTCAATGTCAAATTCTGCACCAAAACTTGTTTTTAATTATTTTTTCTCCCATTTTTCTTGTCACACAGTACAATTAATAA